CCTCACAACACCCTGTCGGTGATTTCACCCTAGGAAAAATTAGATGAATGTGATAATTTATGTTTCGGCCTTTTTTGGGCCTGAAATCGCTGATAGCACTTTTAAGGTAAAGTGTTTTGTGAAAAATATACAGTCTACACACACACATATTGCACACTGAATGGCATTATCGAGAAAATAATTGTGCCTTATGAGATCAATGCACTGTGTTGTCATTCATAAAAGGACATCATATGCCCTACCTATTATGAAACAGCGCGTCTGTCGTAACTCCACTGAAATCTCCATGCTAAGCAAGCGTTCACAATATAAACGTATTACATCTGAGAAATATTGATATTGATTTTGTATAAAACTACCACACCATTGATGTGAACTTAGCTATACATGCCATTTACGTCAGAGGGAGCTATTTCAGGCCCTGTAGAGATTTAGTGAAATGCCCATACTTTTTTATTTTGCTACTTCGCCATTTTGAATTTACACATTTATCATATTTGTGTTATTGCTACTATTTGTGTTATTGACCTTTCAGTAATACAATAAAAAAGACTTAAGATTATTGTGGGAGTATTTTTGTATTTTCAAAATACTAATTACTTGTATTTTATTTAAATACATTTTTCACATCAGTATTTTGTATTTTATTTTGTTACATTTCATGAGCCAGTATTTGTATTTTGTAACAAAATAGTTTTTGATGTATTTGTGCCCACCTCTGGTACTAAGAAGCATTTTTGTACATCAGGTCACAAGTGGACTGTGGTGTAAAAAGGGGCTAATTTCTTTTTTGGAGCTTGTCTATTTTTGGCCACTTCCAGAGGTAGTCAAACACATTTGACCAGATTGCTTTCATAGAGTAGATGCTCATGTGTTTGAACTAGGGATGGGCATTTTTCAAAAATATTGCATTCGAATATTCGGGCTCATAAAAATCGAATATTCGTTTATTTAAATGACGTTTAATGAAAAAGACGTTATTTTTTAAGTTATATTTTTCACGTTTTTGTCACCATTTCTGAACAAGCTTACAATTAGGCAATATACACAACAAGCTTACAATATATGTTAAAGTTTTCTTTTAGTTGAAAACATTAAACAGTAGGCCTATGTGTCAACAAAAAATATAAAAAACAAAAGCATTAATAAAAGCATGCTTAAGCAGCGCGAACGGGAAAAAAAACGCCTAATAAAGCAGATTGTGCCAGATATCGTACAGAACGTACACAGACACACACACACACACACACACACACACACACACACACACACACACGAGTCAGCATATGATTATCGTGTTTATATTGTTTCACGTTTTTATTGAGAAAAACAATATCCACATGCAGGGACGCCGCCAGCAATTTATGCTCGAGGGAGAAAAGGCGCTTTGCTGACAGACGCTTCAGAGACACAAAGATAACGGCGTTCTAAGTTTCTAACAGCACTTTGCGTTTTCTGTTCTTAAACCTGTCTCCCTCAACGAAACCTAAAGGAAGTATATGTCTCAAAATCATTTTGCTATAAGATAAGTTATCATTTCACGCGGGGTCCAGCTGCGCTTACCTGCAGTCGTGAATGCAGTTATGGACAGCTATCTTTCCTCATTCGACTGTTTGGATTTCATGTGATTTCTCATTGTGGTGATATTATAACTCAGATTAATTAATTAATTCGATCAAAAGTAATTCCATTTAGTAAGATCATTTTCAAGTAATTCCAAACTTCGCGAGGCAGACGACAACATTATGTGATCAAATACACACAACTTGTTAACACACTCCACAGCGCCACCCAGTGCATTTAATTATAACTGCGAGTTAGTGCTTGGGATTTATCATGGATTCACTGCATTTACGGCCAGCAAAGCAATGTAGTAAAATTCGAATAGTATTTTATTTTTCGAATAATAATTACATATCGAATATTCGAAAATTCGTGCACATCCCTAGTTTGAACAGCTGCAAAACATGGTGTACCCTACCGCCTACTGACCTAGTACGTAAACATTTTGAGAAGTGCGCTAGCAGGTGTGATTTAAACTTTCTCTGCTTAGCCGATTTTTCCGTAGTTGCTCGACTATTTCTGTAGGTGGCGCCCGAGCATCCATGGCATCGGTGCATGTTCGTTGGAAATATTTGCCAACAGGATGGATGATTACATGCTTTAAATCATCAATTTGAGCAGCTCTTGAGGTTCTTATCCAGAATGTGAGATGAAATTCTTGCTGGTATAGCTGTGTTTACAGACTTTGAGGCCTGCACTTATTTCTTTGCGCTGTCCATTTAGTTGTCGTCAGTGCTTAAAGGCACACTGTGGAACTTTTCAACCTTTATAATATATTACCAAAACCCATTGAGATGGTACATCGACTTACAATAGGTTGAATGACACGTCTGCTGTAGCCTGAAGGTGTCTGTATCGCTTTTCCTAGCACTATGTAACTTCGGGGTTCGGGTAGGAACCCGAGCACAAAAAGAACTACAAAATTCGACCGCTTTACGGCATACGTCACTTCCCCCACCACCCACAACTTCCTCAGATTCTGACGTGAGTGCTCAACTCGCGTTTGATTGCCGTCTGTATGTTTTCGTCATGGCCGAACCAACAGCTACAAGGAAGAAGGCAAAGGTTTTGTCAGAGGACACTAAAAAAAAGAAAAAGGCATAGTGACAAATGAAAAGCCAGGACGAGGATCACCATTGGTCCAGCGTTCGCTCGCTGGCGTGAGCTACAGGAGGAGGATGGGTGGCCGACCGATGCTAACGCTTGCCTGCACACAAATGCCGTTTCCAAGGTGACACAGATAAATCATATAAGCAGTGTAGTATTTTCTGGTATTCCGGCCACAGCCGATGGTGTTATTATGAGTGTAATAAAATGCCCACAGCCCATTGTTCATTTCTACACACAAACACAGCCCGCCACAGTGCAGGGCTCGAACAAATAAAATCGACTCATGTCAAATGTACATTAAATGTAGTGAACGTTCCCACGACTCACTGCCCACAAACACTACACACAACATGTCCCACGGTTTCTGTAAAACGAAACCAACACACATAAGTTACAGTCAGCTCAGGCCGACGGTGTTTTTAGTGCAGTAAATGTGCCCGGCCCGCCGTCCCGCGCCCACATTCACTCACAGACATGTTAGCACTAAGCCGCTCGCTCTCTCTCAGCAGACTGCTATAAGGGAATCGAGCGCGGCCAGGCTGCCCGCCTCAAACACTGCAAGCACACAAAATCTAAAGACACAGGAAGCTGACCCACTGTCTATGGGCGGACCGGTTGACTGTTTGTTGACTTTTGCGACAGTGCTGCGGAGCTTGTGGCCTCTAGGGACGCTAGACGTGAAAGTTACAGGTCGAGCGCCACTAGTGGCCAAAAGTTCCGCAGTGTGCCTTTAATTTGTAAAGTGGGAGGTCCCGGAGCACAGAGGGGGGGGTGGATCCGGCGACTCAAAACGGGGGTTGGAGGTAACGGAACAAAAAAAAAAAAAAAGCTATGTAGCTTCTGACTAAAAAAAACCTTAACAACACTGTGTGTGTATCAGGGCAATGTTTATTTTAATTTCAGAACATGCACTACATGGGTGCAAAATGTAAAAATAAACAACGTTTTCACAAGCAGCAAGGGGGTCGCACACCGGACGAGAAGCGCCGCGTTGCGTCTAGGACAAATCGAGGTATCGCACACCGGACGCGCACTTTCTCAGTTTATGGCCAGCAATATTGTTATGTTTAAGGACATTTTGGAATTAAGATAATGTCTGTATTATGTTATGATTGTACTGTACAATCGTTGCTAGTCTGCAGACTCTGAACACTTCACCTCAGAGTGTCCGTTAACTTAATGAATTGAGAATCTCACCTGAAAACCCGATAACATCAGCAATTTACATTCAAGCAACTGATTTCTGTAAATGAATGTAAAACTAAATGTATATTGCATGCAGCACAGGGTGAAGTCAGACAGTTTTTACATTAACAACGCCGAATGGCGCTGCTGGTGTGTGTACATAGAGAATAATGTGTTAGAATTTTAAAGACGTGGCGCTGCGCTTCTTGTCCGGTGTGCGACCCACTTTACCCTGAAAATTCACCTCAAAAACGAATCGAAACTGCGCAATCAAGATTTTTGTGGAACTTCAATGGGGAATAAAGACTAACAAGACAGATAACAACATTGAACACTACACAAACAGTAATTATTAATTTGCCATAGTGACACAGGAGGTGCCGGAACATGTTCCGGCGTGTTCCGGCTCAAATTAAGCCCTGGTTGTCGTCAGCGGGAAAACCTCTCTACGATTGCGTATGTTGGTTGGTTATTTCCACAGCTTGAACATGACGGCTGCACAAATAGATTTTTAAATGCCAGGCACAGTTTTTATTATATTTCTTACTGTGGTATTGTAATTTTAGGGATGGAAAAAAGATTAATAATAATAATAATACAGACATAACTGAAATGCGGGACACTATTTATGTCTTGCGGGACAAAACTCACAATTTCGGGACTGTCCCGCAGAATGCGGGAGAGGTGGTCATCCTAGGTTGTCGTCCCCCCACGAAAATATCAAAGGAAAAACGTTTCTGTTATTAGTCCATTGTTGTTATTCAATCATACCCTGAATATACAGGTCTGTTGCCATGAGAACTCTATGATATGTTTCAAAGAAAAAAACAATCCAGAATAGCTAAAACATCTAATATAATATTCAGCTACTGAAGGATAAAATAAGGCTGAATTCAGAATGGCAGAAATAGTACTAGCATACTATTCTGAAATCAGCTCAATGTGGTTTTATGTATGTTCAAAAGGGTGGAAAAACAAGAAAATTGGAATCACCTAGTTGCATAAACTCCCACTCTGGAGTGCAAGTCTGGAGAATCATGACTATTAATGAAGAGGGAGGGATTATCATTAATTACCCAAAGTCTGTAGAGTACAAAAAGACCAAAGGGCAGCATCTCAGCAGTGGGACTAGCTGTTGAACAATGGCAGGAAGTTGGTGTGCTGTTCAGTCTCTGGCACTTTTTGTTTGGTTCTGTGCTTTCTGTCATGCTGTTCCGAAGTGGAGTGATCTGACCCAGAATCCTCAAGCTCTGATGTTCCAGCAAACTGACCAGTGGTTTCAGAAGCCAGTTCAACAGCAAGCTAGTCAATGGTTTCCTCAGCAGGTTCAACAGCAAGCAGGTCAAACGTTTCCTCAGTCAGTTCAACAACAAGCTAGTCACCAGTTTCCTCAGTCAGTTCAACAAGCTAGTCGCCAGTTTCCTCAGTCAGTTCAACAACAAGCTAGTCACCAGTTTCCTCAGTCAGTTCAACAAGCTAGTCGCCAGTTTCCTCAGTCAGTTCAACAACCTAGTCACCAGTTTCCTCAGTCAGTTCAACAGCAAGCTAGTCACCAGTTTCCTCAGTCAGTTCAACAACAAGCTAGTCACCAGTTTCCTCAGTCAGTTCAACAAGCTAGTCACCAGTTTCCTCAGTCAGTTCAACAGGCTAGTCGCCAGTTTCCTCAGTCAGTTCAACAACCTAGTCACCAGTTTCCTCAGTCAGTTCAACAGCAAGCTAGTCACCAGTTTCCTCAGTCAGTTCAACAGCAAGCTAGTCAACAGTTTCCTCAGCAGTTTCAGCCTAAGCAGCCAGTGGCAAAGGCAGAGCCCCTTGACAAATGTACTGTAGCTGATTATGATCAGATCCAATGTGGACCACCTGGTATCAGTGGTGCTGAGTGTGCTGCTATCAACTGCTGCTTTAATGGACAGCAGTGTTACTATGGGAAGGCAGGTAAGAGTGGAGTCAATGTAGAGGCATTCATGTTAAACTGATCCTCAGCAATAACCTGCTCTTGTAACTCGTTCCAGTGACTGTCCAGTGTATAAGAGATGGTCAGTTTGTGGTAGTGGTGGCTAGAGATGTTACGCTGCCTCGATTGAGCCTGGATTCAGTCCGTCTCCTGGGTGGAAAGAATGGATGCCAACAATGTTACTATTTGCAGGAGGACAGCGGATATGTGGTGTATGAAAACAGAATGTCCTCCTCATATGAAGTAGGTGTCGGACCACTTGGTTCCATCACAAGGGACAGCCATTTTGAGTAAGTGATGTATGCTTTATCATAAATGTGAATCATTGACAAATGCTACAAGCTCACTGTTTGTCGTCCAGGCTTCTCTTCCAGTGTAGGTACTCTGGTACCTCTGTGGAAGCTCTGGTTGTGGAGGTCAACACCGTTCCTCCACCTCCACCAGTAGCTGCTCCTGGACCCCTCAGGGTGGAGCTTAGACTGGCAAATGGTCAATGTGTCACCAAAGGCTGTGCAGAAGGTAAGTGTTTGTCCCAAGTATGCCTAAAGCCTTTCTAAAACTCCAGTTTCAAGTTAAACCCTGTATTCTTCCTCAGGGGACGAGGCGTACACGTCCTACTACAGTGATGCTGATTATCCAGTTACAAAAGTCCTGCGGGAGCCTGTGTATGTTGAGGTGCACATTTTGGAGAGGACCGACCCCAACATTGTCCTGATGCTGGGACGTTGCTGGGCGACATCAACCCCCAGTCCACTCAGTCTACCCCAATGGGATCTTCTGGTTGATGGGTGAGTAAGGCCCGTCTTTATCCATCTGTGCTGTAAGGCATTTCTGACTGCCTCTTTGCCTTTCAGGTGTCCTTACCAGGATGATCGTTACCTGACCACATTGGTTCCAGTGTCTTGATCATCTGGTCTTCAGTTCCCGACCCACTACAAGCGCTTTGTTGTGAAGATGTTCACATTTGTAAATCCAGCATCACTGGCTCCTCTGCGGGAAACCGTATGCTCTGCAGCCTTGCCTCAACCCTTAATATTAGTGCTTTTTACAGTGAATTATATGGCTTAACCCTTTCCCCCTCTGTTAGATCTTCATCCACTGTAGTACAGTGGTGTGCCATCCCTCCTCTGGCTCCTGTGAGCAAAGCTGCACTAGGAAAAGTGAGTGCTTGCTGTAAGTTGACTTCAGGAACTGAGAACTTATTTAAATGCCCCTCATGCTTCTACCACTTTTTACAGGAAGAGACACGCACGTCAAGACCATCTCTAGTGGGCAAACTGTGGTGTCTAGTGGAGAAGTTAACCTGGTCAAGTGAATTTTAGTGTTTTAATAAACTTCATGAAACTCAACATGTTTCTCTTTGGTATTCATTTCTGACTGGAGTTGGATGTTTCATGACTGTTCTCAGTTTGACTTCTAGGGCTGCACTACTAAACCTTTTTCTTTCGTGCATTGAGATTCTTGACTTGAATTGAACAAGCCAAGTTTCTGCATAAGCCATTTAACTTTACTATTTGCCAAGTTCTAGTTGTTAACTTGGGCCCCTGTTCATGTTTCACATATCAAATGAACAGCGTTGGGCAAGTTACTTTTAAAAAGTAATTAGTTACAGTTACTAGTTACTTCTGCCAAAAAGTAACTAAATTAGATACTCAGTTACAAATTTTAAAAGTAACTAGTTACTTAAAGTAACTATTGCGTTACTTTCAAGTAAAATTAAATTTTAAATGCTCAAATGTGACCCGACCTCTACCCCTCTTTAACGGAACTTAAAATACATGTGCATGTTCAATTATTTATGATAAATCTGAATATTATAATAAAATGGACACTTAATACAATACATTATTAACAGAAACATGAAACATTGTACACACATCAAAAAAAAAAAAAAAAAAATGTTGCTGTGGGACAAAGTGAGACTAGCCTCCAATCAAATGCCATGTATGTAGATATTATGTTTATATAGTGGATCAATGCAAATAACACAATAGATGTTTTGGAACTTTTGATATTTATTGCCCCTCAACAGGCCACAACTGGGCAAAATTAAATTAAGCTTGTTAAGCTAGTCGCCATACCTGTCTCTAGTTGACTGACTGGCTTGTGTTGTTCCTTGTGTGTCCTGTCCTGTCCGACTATGCGTTATGATGGGTCGTTCGCAATTCATGAGCGTTAGCCGTTAGTGATGATGGGTCGTTCGCGAATGAGCGTTAGTGATGATGGATCGACTCGTTCGCGAATGAGCTTTTGATGGGTCGTTCGCGATTCTAAAAGTTAGTTACTCTAAGAGCCGGCTCTTTTAGGTGAACGTCGGGAGCTGGCTCGCATATCTGAAGAGCCGACTCTATTTTTACAAATTTAGCCTATAGAAATTAAATAATTATGTAATAAAAATTTAAATATTATAGTCAAAGTCATTTAAAGAGCCGTTTGTGAGCCAAAAGAGCCTGCTCTTTTCAGTGAGCTGAGTCAAAAGAGCCGAATGCCCATCACTACTATGCGTGCTTTCGAACACCCGCCCAACTCTACCTCTGATTGGCTTACAATGACATTTTACTCTACCTCAGCCAATCGTCAGCATTTATGCGCTTGTCTCGTGCTCTGCCCACTAACCAAGGAAAAACAGTAAAAAAAAGTATTTGCCTCTCGCGCAGAGATCTAGTTGGTCTGATGAAAAAAACAAAAAACAGCTTCATCAGTTATAGTAACGCGCCGCATTTTTTGGCAGTAACGGTAACGGCGTAATTAAGATGAGAAGAGTAATCAATTAGATTACACGTTACTGGAAAAAGTAATGCCGTTAGTAACGGCGTTATTTATAACGCCGTTATTCCCATCACTGCAAATGAAGGTTTTAGCTACTGTCTGAGGCTTTACATATGACTTTATGGCTGGACTAGCATAACTGCATGTATTGATGCCCAAACTCCCTCTAAGGTCACTTGTTGGCTTTTTGTAATGCTTTTTTTACAGTCACGCAAGTATAGACTCATATCTTGGGATAAAGGATGAGTGCAGGTTGATAGTGGTTTTATTCCAGGCTAGTCCCAGTAATGTTTATTGAAAAGTAGACTGCTTTCATTTAAGCATTAATCCCTTAACCCTTTCGCACGTACGTTCTAAAATAGTCAGACTGGCAGCCTGGCGTGAGTTTTTTTCTGCGACCGTTATTTTGCAATCAATCGCGTTCTAATTTCCATGGAGACGCATGAACCTTGTCACGTGACATTTCGCAGTCTCAATGGCGCACACGATGGATAACCGTCTGCAGGTGAGTAGTTTGAATGTTTCGCTTTATTTTTTTATTCAAAACCTCTCAAATAATTTGTTAGCGTGTACCGACTATGGTTGATATTGTTTTGTTTATGTCCCCCCCCCCCCCCCCGCTTTGAATTTCTCTTGCACATGGTTCTTTGCATCACCCTCAAAACAGCCGGGTGACAATCGGTGAGTTATATTTAAGTTTTTAATTGTATTCTGAAGCATCTAGAATTATTTACAAGCATGCAATAAATATGAATAAAGAACGTAAAACGGACAGTGCTCAATAATGTGGTCATTACGGTTTGTTTGTCTGTCAACGTGCTGTTTTGCACATTGCAAATAAATATGTTCAGTAATCCGTGCATTCAGGAGGTAAAGTCGGGGTTCAGTTGAATTGATACGTTATACATAACATGAATATACCAAAGCACATATTTGCCGTTAAATCCTTTACATCGATTTTCTTGTTTGTTTTAGTTAATATGAGTTAACTGAGTTTTATATCTCTCAATAGCAAAGCAGAGAAAAGCTACATGGTATGACATTGTTGAATTATATTTTCCTATATACAAAACATTTGAGCAAGCTGTGTGATATACATATATACAATTATATATGGTCACACCTCACTTATTAGCTTGCTCAAATGTTTGTTGGAAATATAATTTAAAGGGATAGTTCATTTTAAAATGAAAATTCTGTCATCATATACTCACCCTCAATTTGTTTCAAACCTGTATGAATTTCTTTCTTCTGCTGAACACAAAAGAAGATATTTTGAAGAATGTCAGTAACCAGACAGTTAACTGGAGCCATTGACTTCCATAGTAGGAAAAAAATATACTATGGAAGTCAATGGCTCCAGTTAACTGTCTGGTTACTGACATTCTTCAAAATATCATCTTTTGTGTTCAGCAGAAGAAAGAAATTCATACAGGTTTGAAACAAATTGAGGGTGAGTATATGATGACAGAATTTTCATTTTAAAGTGAACTATCCCTTTAACGATGTCATACCATGTAGCTGTTCTCTGCTTTGCTAGTGAGATATATGTATAGTACAAGTTTAGCATTATTCATAGAATTCAAACGTATGACATTTGTTAAAAAGAAATCACAAAATGTACACATTTCATGTATGTTTTATTAAGCTATTTTAATGCAAGTTAAATGTTTTTTTTAACACAATACGTTTATACTTACTAATATAATTACAAAACAGATAACAAATATATTTACAATGAATATCAAAATAGTATCATCATAAACAAACAAACAAAAATTCTATAAATATACTCTGACTTTTGATAAATGTTTTAGTTTAAAACAAACTATTATACATACCTTTATACTTAATAATATATTTACAATAAATAATAATTAAAATAGTATCATCATAAATTAATTAATATACTCTGACTTTTTACAGGCTTAATAATGCTTCAGTGTGTGGTACTCCTCAAAACATGGGACAGCACACAAGGGAGTGTTGCATGGCACACACATGTGCTTGGTGAGGCGCCTCTGCTTGCCCTTGCATGTGCTGGAGAGGCAGACCTTGCAGTGCCGCCTGGTCTTGCTGCCCTGGGAAGTGGTCTGAGGGACTTCAGATGGGAAATGCCTGGCTGTAAGGCGCAGAGGAGTGTCCAAGGCCGGACGGCCTCCTTTGGTTGGACCGCGCAATGTGCTGTACTCCTCCAGCAGCCCTCTCATCAGGTTCGTCCTGAATTGTAGGGAGGTGATTTCCTTTCCTACTCATAGTAGAGCACATCAATAGGGAGTGAGGAGAATAGAATAGTATGTGACAGTGTGGTCTGTTTATTATTGTGAATTTGTTAACACTTTAGATTACATTAATTAAAAATGTTATCACTTTTTATCTTGTTTATATTTATTATTAGATGATTTGTATCCATTTCTCACCAGTAATTTGCCGGTAGACGATGTGGCTGTTGAGTAAAACAGTGTCAAGTACATGAAAAAATATCTTCTTGTACCACTTGGTAGACTTTCTGGTGCATTCATGGAAACCAGTCATCATATCAGCTTTGTCAACTGCCCCCATCTTTTCGTTATACTCCAGCACACAGACTGGCTTCATCCTTGGTTGCCCAGTGATGTGATCAAGCTTGCCTGTAGCTGCCATACCAGTTGGGTGGACTGTGGTAAGGACATGAACATCCCTCTTGTCGTGCCATTTTACTGCCATCTGTGACCCATTCTCTTCGAATTCCACCTCACCTTTTTTCATCTTACAGGTGAACTTTGGCATTCCTTTCCTGTTTGCACGCACGGTCCCACAAGCTCCAGTGCCAAGTGACAAGAGGTGCTGGAAAAGTGTGGGACTACTGTACCAGTTGTCCACATAAAGAACATGACATTTTTTTAGGTAAGGTGCTAGAAGTGTCATCACAACGGACCCAGAAATCCCAAGTCCTGGGTAATGTTGGATGTCAGTGGTAGATCCGGTGTAAATTATCATGTCCTCCACATAACCAGTTAGCACATCACACAAAACAAAAAACTTGACCCCAAATCTGTGCCGTTTAGATGGAATGAACTGACGAAATGCCAGCCTGCCTTTCCACTTCATCAGAGACTCATCCACACACAGATCCCTGTATGGCACAAAAATGCGACGAAAGGAGGAGGTGAGAGCAGTAAATATGTGTCTGATTTTTTTCAGCGGGTCATTGGAAACTGCTGTCGCATTGTTTGCGAAGTGAAGACAGCGGAGGAGCAGAAGGAAGCGATCCTGTGAGAACAAAGACCCAAAAAATGGGGTCAAGAGCATGGGGTCTGTGCTCCAGTAATCACGAAGTGATGGTTTTTTTTATCACCCCCATTAAGAGAACTGCCACTAAAAATGTGTACATTTCAGGGATATTTGTTGGAACCCATTTAACCAGCTTTCCTTTAATTTCCCTTTCTTGCAAGTCAGAGGCAAAGCGGTTTGTTTCCTCCACAATTTCTCCCATGACATCTTCTGTGAGGAACAATTTAAAACAATTGACCTCACTGGGTGATTCTGGTGGATTTTGCACACCACAGAGCTGGTTGTCAAAATTGCCTGGCCCAGGAGGATTAAAAAGGTTGGTTGCCTTCCATAACAATGAGTTTACCTCTTCTGCCTCATTTAGGACTGGTGTCGTCTCTTCATCTGCAATGTTGTCAAGAGCTTCAAGGTTTGGGGGAAGATCTTCATCGCTGTCACTCTCTGCCTCGCTGTCAAAAATCTCCTCATCAGAATTAAAAAAAATGTCCTCAATTTCCTCATTTGTCAGTTGTCGTCTTTTATATAAATTTTCTGTCATTTTCTCTGAAGTTGGTGAGCTTGATTAAAGTTTTGTCTTTAAATTAGAACAAAGGCGAGTGTGAGGTAACGGTGACGTCAGCTCTACATCATTTGTCAGCGGGAAAAAAAGACTCGCAATGCATGACAGTTAAAATCTTTTTTAATTTATTATACAAAATATTTACAAACTTGTAGTTATTAACATCGTTAAATATATGTAAGGGAACTCCTAATTTGGTTTTAATACTTAGAGAAAAAAAGATCCATGTTAGTTGATCGGTAAGATATACGGGCTATGGGCGCCGCCATTATTTGTTTACAACACTGATGGAGAGTTGGACTTGGAGCCTGCTGGATTTACAACATGCAAGATCATCCATGTCTCCCGAAATATATGACAGTAACCCCCGCTTCACTGCATCTCACGCGACGCTCCTGCTTGAGGCTCACGCGCTGCTCCTGCTCCTGGTGTGAATCCACTCATTGATTAACATGCACGCACGTCGCACGCCGAAAAAAATATGCGCTGCTCACGCGTCGCTGACGCTTGCTGTGTGAAAAGGCCGTTTTCTCTACAAGGTGTGTTTGACTCGAATAAATATTAATATTACATCATGTTTAAAAGGTTATTTTGTTGTTATAAATATTAGTGTGCAATAATAAACTATATATTTGTTATTGTGTAATGTAATTTAAAGTGAATGAAACCTAAAATAAACATTAAAATACACTGAACAGTTGTGATAATGATGAGAGCTGTGCACGTCCGTCTCTGGCTCAGTGCCAGTCAAAGCGGGAAAGCAGTAAAAGCAAAAGTTTGAAATTTTGAATTTAGCAGTTGATCACGTGATTCACTGAACGTTCTAATCACACCGGTGTGATCGTACGCTCCAGGGACCAGCCAAGACTGATCACACCGGTGTGATCGTACGTGTCAAAGGGTTAACTGTTGTATCCCAACTAGGTAGCTGTCCAAGGCCTTGTTTACACCTGGTACTAAGAAGCATTTTTTTACATCAGGTCACAAGTGGACTGTGGTGTAAAAAGGGGCTAATTTCTTTTTTGGAGCTTGTCTATTTTTGGCCACTTCCAGAGGTAGTCAAACACATTTGACCAGATTGCTTTCATAGAGTAGATGCTCATGTGTTTGAACAGCTGCAAAACATGGTGTACCCTACCGCCTACTGACCTAGTACGTAAACATTTTGAGAAGTGCACTAGCAGGTGTGATTTAAACTTTCTCTGCTTAGCTGATTTTTCCGTAGTTGCTCGACCATTTCTGTAGGTGGCGCCCGAGCATCCATGGCATCGGTGCATGTTCGTTGGAAATATTTGCCAACAGGATGGATGATTACATGCTTTAAAGGGGTCATACAATGCCATTTTTGTACAAGCTAATGATTCTTTAGGGTCTAAATTAAAAGTTTGTAATCTACTTTAATTAAAAATTCTCATTAGTATTGTAAGAAAACATTTATTTTATCTGGTCAAAAACAGCTCTGTTTTCAGCACGGCGTTTCAGTGTATATGACTTTAAATGATAATGAGCTTTGCTGACTCCGCCTCTCTGTTCTATGCGTACACCGTTTATAACACAATAACCATAACGTGGTGTTCAGTATAAACGTGGGATTATGAATTATATTGAGAACGTCGTACATAGAAAACATGCCGTAATGCACCCTGAGTGTAAACCTTAGACGCATTCATTGTGAAGCGTGCAGTGCAGCTAGCGATTTGCAAAGATTAATATAAAGTCATTGCGTTTGGAAACAAAGATGAAGTTCTCAAGGTGAATGCATACCTTGACTCTAGGGGTCTAACAACAAAAAATCAAGTCAGGAATCTTGGTGTATCTCTAGAGTCAGACCTTAGTTTCAGTAGTCATGTCAAAGCAATTACTAAATCAGCATACTATCATTTGAAAAATATTGCAAGAATTAGATGCTCTGTTTCCAGTCAAGACTTAGAGAAACTTGTGCATGCTTTCATCACCAGCAGGGTGGATTATTGTAATGGACTCCTCACTGGCCTTCCTAAAAAGACCATAAGACAGTTGCAGCTCATACAGAACGCTGCTGCCAGGATTCTGAGTAGGACCAGAAAATATGAACATATCACACCAGTCCTCAGGTCTTTACACTGGCTCCCAGTTACATTTAGGATTGATTTTAAAGTATTAGTACTGGTATATAAATCATTCAATGGCCTAGGACCTCAATATATTGCAGATATGCTCACTGAATATAAACCAAACAGATCACTCAGATCATTAGGATCACATCAGCTAGAAATACCAAGGGTTCACTCTAAGCATGGAGAGTCTGCTTTTAGCTATTATGCCAGCCGCAGCTGGAACCAGCTTCCAGAAGAGATCAGATGTGCTCCTACAGTAGTCACATTCAAATCCAGACTCAAAACACATCTGTTTAGCTATGCATTTACTGAATGAGCACTGTGCCACTGTTCGTCCGACTGTTTTTACTATACTTTATTTTATTTTTTTATTCTAAACTGTTTTAATTATTCTTATTTGTTTTGATTATTTTATTTTCTCCTATGTAAAGCACTTTGAATTACCATTGTGTATGAAATGTGCTATATAAATAAACTTGCCTTGCCTTGCCTAAAGTTTAATAAAACGTTACACTCACTTCAGTTGTTCAGCAGGAACACTTCAGCAGGAACACGAATAGCTGGTACCGATCCTTTTTTCATGAGCAGCTTCTTAGCAAAACCAGCTTTATACTGACCCTCGTTTATAAAGCAGTCTGGTGAGAAATGATTCGCGCAAACATGAGAGCATTGACGTTGCTCGTGGGAAATATTCCCTTCGAAAACAAACTCAGCCACTGCGTCTTCAGCGGTTCGGATTTAGGAACATTAAAATGACTGCTGTGTTCGTTATTACACCCAAGAACAGAACACCACAATCGCTCAGACGCCATTCTGCTTATAGACAGTGCTCCAGCATCAACAATGAGCGCCGGTCCACGCGGACTATGATTGACAGCTCGCTCACGAGCGAGGGCGGGTCTGTGTTGATATGCTGCTGTCAATCAACAATCGTGGGAGGGGCTTCCGAGCGTGCGACGTCACACGGTCGAACGGCTTGATTTGAAGCAGGGGTAAACATATAAGTAGATTAAAACAAAAACACTGGATAGATTTTTATCATTGTATGATGGTTGTGTACAGGCACTGCCAACACACATTTCAGTACAATCAACTTGTAAAAGTGCATGTACCATTATATGACCCCTTTAAATCATCAATTTGAGGAGCTCTTGAGGTTCTTATCCAGTGGTGCGTTTCCCAAAGCCAACTATGGTCGCAAGTTCCGTCGTTACCAATAGAGTTCAATGGAAATTGCGATCATAGTTGGCCAACGATGCTTTTGGGAAACGCACCCCAGAATGTGAGATGAAATTCTTGCTGGTATAGCTGTGTTTACAGACTTTGATGAGGCCTGCACTTATTTCTTTGCGCTGTCCATTTAGTTGTCGTCAGTGCTTAATTTGTAAAGTGGGAGGTCCCGGAGGGCAGAGGGGGGGTGGATCCGGCGACTCAAAACGGGGGTTGGAGGTAACGGAACAAAAAAAAAAGAAGCTACATAGCTTCTGACTAAAAAAAAACCTTAACAACGCTGTGTATGTATCAGGGCAATGTTTATTTTAATTTCAGAACATGCACTACATGGGTGCAAAATGTAAAAAAAAAAAACTTTTCACAAGCAGCAAGGGGGTCGCACACCGGATGAGAAGCGCCGTGTCGCGTCTAGGACAACTCGAGGTATCGCACACCGGACGCGCACTTTCTCAGTTTATGGCCAGCAATATTGTTATGTTTAAGGACATTATGGAATTAAGATAATGTCTGTATTATGTTATGGGCACATATTTGGCTTTTTATATGACATCGCATCTCTCAAAGAAAAGGAGAATATGATAGTTCTTCAGGATTGCTTAAGACTGGAAAAGGCCCTGACTCATGGAGACTCGCGGGATGTTGAATGAGCATGAATTGTTTGAAGAGCTGACTGCTTTGGGCAGACGCCTGGTGCTGGATCTAAACCACTGGATGCGCTTAAATTCATCTGTGAAAAAGGAATGGAATCAATTTTTCCAAATGTTTTTGTCGCATTGAGCATGCCTCTCACACTCCCCTTCTCTGAGAGCTCTGGAGTTTCTCAAAGCTTAAACTGATTAAAAATTATCTCCAAAGTACAATGACACAGGACAGACTTAATGGACTAGCGACAATTGCAATTGGTCACGAACTTGCTGAAAACATTAAAATCGAGGACACAATCAAAACGTTTGCCGTTATTAACGAGTTCGTTTGCCCATAAAATCTTTAAGATATTAGGTTAAACTTATTTGGCTTGCTGTCCGCTGGAGAGGGGCTCGATGAAGCAGCTTCAACTCGAGCTCTGATATACCCCCCAGTGGCTAAATGTAGGACCTGTTAATTAAAGGGCAAGGTACCTAAGATGAAGGTGGAGTTTGGGGAGGTGGAGGGATACTGGAACAGCTGATACTAGGGAGAGGTAAGCGGCTGCTTATATACTCTGTTTGTTGATTGAAAGATTGGATGGGCTCGCTCCTCCCTAACTTACGTTTAGGAACTTCATTTAACGAGTTCGTTTCCCCATAAAATCTTTAAGATATTAGGTTAAACTTATTTGGCTTGCTGTCCGCTGGAGAGGGGCTCGATGAAGCAGCTTCAACTCGAGCTCTGATATACCCCCCAAAAGTGTTGAATAAATATTTGGGACAGCAAGTTAGAATAACGTGATCAAATACAGGATGCCTATAAGCTTAAAGTATGTTACCCCCCAAAAGAGTGGAAATTGAAAGCTGTATGGAGCATGGATGGACGCTGCTGCGGCAGTGATATGTTTAATGGGGCTCCTGGCTGGAACTGCGTCTCCCTACTATGCCCACCATGTGGGGCTATGAGTGGAGCTCCGGCGGGAGCTGTGTTTGAAAGAGTGTGCCTGCATTCGTTGTGGAGTGAAACGACATGGGCTTGTGGAAATTTGACTGGGGTACATCTCACCGCTGCACTGCTGCGGCAGTGACTTTCAGAAATTACTCCTGCGGGAGTATCTTGGGACTGGAGGTTTGAGTACGAGGTTGGAGAACGCCCTGCCACATCCATGACATGGAGCTCCATGGAGTTAGAGAACATGGGGCTTCCAGATGTCACAAACGGGGAAGAAGGTCCTCGTCCCTAAAGGCAAACGGGCCACCAGTATCTGAAGCGAAACTCCCTACGCAGCAAGAGGGAGCCTACGGTATACATAGGAAATGCAGAACTACCATCCTTCTGACGCAGGGGGCGGAGATCACATAAAGACATAATGGCCCGTCGCGTTCGAGGGACGTACGATCCTTGGTACCTCCAGTCCTGTTTTTTGGATAGGAGGGCCCACACTGCGATCCGAACGGGAGAGCCTCCATGGTTAAGAACATGAAGGATCACACAGCGATTCGGAAAGGGAGAGCCCCCACGGCGCCCGAACGGAAGCTCATACTGCGATTCGACCGGGAGAGCTCCCGCTGCGTTTCGAAGGAGAGAGCCCCCCCATATGTATAAATAGGGAGTTCACTCGGCGATCAAAACGGGAGAGCCCACACAGCAAGTCGAACGGGAGAGTCTATGATGCATCTGAACGGAAGAGCCCACACGGCGATTCAGATGGGAGACCCCACTCCAGGAGTGGTAGGTCACGCACATCTGAAAAGGGAGAGCTCTCACTGCATCCAGATGAATACACGCCCTGCGGGGCTAGGTAAGCGGGGAGATGCAAAATAGTAGGGAGAAGCGGTCCAGACTTAGAGGGATGCTAGTGTTTGCTGTGCTTGTCTAATGTTATGCAGATCTGAACGAACGTATGTTTCGAAGGCGAGGGACGACCATCGACCTAGCATTTTGATTTGGTGATCGAAAGAAAGCCAAATTGAACATGGCGTCTGGGGCTCTTGTTTTGTTAGGAGAAAAAGACCTGAGCGGAGAGTGGTTAGCTAGACGCAAAGAATGTCGACGGTTAAAGTTAGCTGAGGAGCGGCGCACAGGGCACATAGAACGGGCGTGAGCTCCGCCACAGAAATTACAGACATGGAGGAAGTGGCATCATTGTCTGTTGCAACGTGATGAATTAAAGCTGTTGCACACTTGTCTGCCTGGAACTGAGGTAAAAATCTGGTTACGGTCATTCCTTGATTGAGGGACATATGAAGTGAATTTTTCTTGGAAAGGAGCTGGATGGGTTGGAAGATCTGAGTTGGTTTGGGGACATTCTGAACGTAGAATGAATGATAGACCTGCAGATGGTGCAAGAAGGGCTTCGAACGCCTAAGAAGACTCTGTTATATAGTTCGAGGTCCAAGGCTCCCCAGTAAGGACACTGGTTCCAGTGTGTGACGCGGGCGGCGCATTTAGCTGGAAAAAGCTTATGGTATGTATAAAAATTACTACCTCCGAAAGAGAGACTGAGCTCTGCTATGGTAGAGAGGTAACGTTAGTCATTTAATTCCTTGCGTCTGGCTGGAAATGAAGTGCAAATTACTTCTGTGTATCTGGCAAAAGCAACGCAGAATTCTGAAAGTGTGAGAACTCGTTTTGAAGGTTGTACAGAATTTGTAAGATCAACGATTTAAGTCAAACGAGCGGTGGGATTCATTGAGAGGGACGAAAGTCAGTAGAGAAGGAAGATCGATAGTTGCACCTGATAGAATTAGGGAACGGAGATGGGCTGGGACTGGTAGTGGTTCCATGGCGATTGCATTGTTAGGAGCTGGAAGATGGACTGCTGTTGAGAGTGAATGGGCTGGCAAGCGGATTGTACCTGAGGAGCAAGTGTTAGTGTTGAGAAAAGTAAATGAATGTTGATCGGAGGGTCCCATTACTGACTGGTGTCCAGTGTTGGGAAGGATACTTTCAAAACGTATTTCGTTACGGAATACATGCCCCAAAATGTAATTTGTAATGTATTCCGTTAAGTTACTCAATCTGAGTAACGTATTCTGAATACTTGATTACTTCCACATTGAACTGAATTTTATTAGTGTAGGAATGCGGAATGTTGATGCGGTGGTGACGCGTTGTAGGGATGGCGCTGCCAATAAAGCACCTAAAAGCTGTCACAAAGAGTCGGCAAAAGTATTGATTATGAATAAGTCAAATATATCAAGGATATATTTTAATTGTTTATTAATAAACAAGTGTTTTCTGTCTGTCACTGTCGCCTGCAAAGATGAAGTTGACGATGCTGACTCGCGATCTTTGCGCCAGAGAGAAATGCGCATTTCATACGGATTAACAGAAAGCAGACGACTAAACCTGAAAATAACTTACTTTAAGATGCTTCTATAGGTTGGAGGTGGAGTCTTTGGACGCTGAAAGGAGGTTGGTTGCTGGCAAGCAGAGGTTGCACTGCACAGTTAGGCTATATTTCGTTCTCCCTTCTCTTTCTTTAATGTGAAATACTGTTTGAATTTCCGAGATAGAAACGCATTCTTGCCCTGTCTCTGTTGTAGTTCTGGCTACATCTCTATTCTAGCTCCCGCTGCTCCTCTTCCGACTCATTGTGACTGATCACGCAAACCGCGCATTTTTTCGTTTTCACATTGGGGCTTCTGGGAAATGCTGAGTTGCCTTAATTTATTTAGAGAGTGACTAAACTCGTGAAACAGAGAAGTATTGTAATGTAATCCATTGATTTCAACAATGTAACTGTATTCTAAATACCAACTATTTAAATTGTAACTGTAACGGAATACAGATGGGCGTACTCATAATTTGTATTCTGAATATGTAACGCCGGTACATATATTCCGTTACTCCCCAACACTGCTGGTGGAAACTGTGGAACATGTGCTGTTTGAGTGCATTAAATACTCAAATCGAAGAATGGATTTAAGGAATGGACTGGAACATGAAGGAATCAAACAAATGAACATTACAAATATCTTCTCAAATAAATCCGGAAAGATGCTTAAAATCATATCATCTTACCTACAACAAACTGGACTAAACCTAAGGATTTAAGCAAAAGTAAATAAGATACAGTAGGTGGCGATAATGCTCCATTTGGTTGCAAGTCGCCAGTAAAAGACGAAGAAGAAGAAGAAGACTGCTAGTGTCCAAGATGGCTGGCATGGCCTGAAGTGAGAGGAAGGGGAGGTTTTGTGTAAAAAAGTGTAGAAATCCTTTGCTGAGGCAACCTCACGCTCTGATGTGAACTGGAAAGAATATTAGGAGACAATTGGAAGATAGAAGGGGAAAAAGGGGTGAGGCGAATTGGAATGGAAGGAAAGAGGGAAGATGGCTAGCGAAGGCATCCTTGCGCTAGGATCCGCTCTTTGAGTAGGTTGGTTTGAGCGTGAGAGAAATGTAACTGTGTGCGAGGGTGACCTGGCACAAGGGTTATTATAAAGAAGTTTAGAGAGAACTGGAGAAGCAGAGGGAAGTCGGAGGAATGTGTTTGTGAGTTTGGTTCTTGCCTGGGGAGTGGGGCTGACTGCATGAAGTTTGTGAGAGCTGGAGAAGAAGCGGAACTGTTTTTTGCGGCCGCTGTTGCTGGCAGGGTGGAAATACCGGCGGACAAGGAAGTGTGAGCCGCGGCGGCGCCGGCGGCCTTTGGATCGGCGCGTTGGGATTGTGTGGGTTCAGAACGCCGAACCGGGAGAGAAACGGAGGTAGAAGAGGTGCGAGTCTTGCTTTTATAAGATGTTGAAGTGTTTGATGGAATACTGGAACAGCTGATACTAGGGAGAGGTAAGCGGCTGCTTATATACTCTGTTTGTTGATTGAAAGATTGGATGGGCTCGCTCCTCCCTAACTTACGTTTAGGAACTTCATTTAAAGGTTTTCTAAGCGATCCTGGGTGACGTCACTTCTTGTTGACGTTCGAACTATTGTCAAACAAAACGGAGGCTAGCTAGACCCTCCCTCCTCCTCATCCGCACACTAACCCCCCAAACCCTTCTTGTCGGTCATTGGCTGGAACAGTTTGTTATGTTTCGGGGAGCGGGTCGCTGCAGTTTGTTTTTGTTGCTGTTTGTGGAGCCTGGGCTGTCTACAGAGATCGCGTTTCTTTACAGTGTGTTCAGAGGACAGGCAGCCAGCGGATAGTGAGGAGATGTTTGCTGTATGTGACAAAAAATGTTTTGGCCTAAAAAACGCGTGACATCGCTTAGAGCACCTTTAAAGCCCGACGAGCACGCTTCTGAGAGATAGGCTTTTGTTGTTTGTGTGTATCAGTCAAATAAAACTGAAACTTGAAAATTAAAATTAATGGTCTATATATTAAATACATAATAGATAATGGATAAAAATGTAAGTTATTATGCGACGTATAGGCTACATTTTAGACACAATATTGTCAATATTGAGTGTTTTTGCACTAAAATAGTTCCAAACAGAGTCACAGCAGAATGGTTGCGTCTCTGATCTGATTTTCTCCATTCTGTCACCTGATGGAGTTTTGGTTCCATGCCACTGTTGCCTTGGCTTTTGGCTTGCTTAGTTGGGGACATTTAATATTCAATGATATTATTGATCTGCCTTACTTAAGGTGGACGTTGATGCAATTTTCTTTTAGAAACAAACTTTGTTGTATTATTTTCATGTTATCACTGTGAAGCTGCTTTGATACAATCTGTATTGTAAAAAGCGCTATATAAATAAAGGTGACTTGACTTGACTTGATCAACACAGAAGTGTTTCGTTCTTGGATAATTCAGCATTTTTTACCAAATGCCTGAATCAACAATTCAATGACCAATTCATAAAGATAGTAATTTGCTTCATTCCTCAATAAATCAGCCGTTTTGAACCAATGAATTAATTAATTAATCAATGACTCACTTATTAAGATAGTGACTTGTTGCCACCTACAGGCGGTTTCAGTATAATTTCTTTTTTTTCCCCAAAAATTTCATATTTCTATATTCAATACAATTTGTTTTATTTAAAACATTAATACATTATTTATGAATGCCTTGAAACCAGTCTGAGAAATACATCTAAATGCCACTGAACTGTTCAGCATGAAATCGAAACCCTCTTGGATTCTTCGATTTTAGAATAAAGAGATATGTTACATTAAGAAAAATGTAAAACTGGTCCATTGAGATTTTGTTTTAAATGTTAACTTTTTGCCCCATCTGGCTTCATAATACCCCTTGTAAAGAATATTGTGTCCTAATATGTTTAGAAGCAGTCAGTACTGCACGGTTGTTGTTGTTTTTTCAGCTTTCAAAACCTTTGCTGCTCTTATGTTGTAGCTACTCAAAGTTTACTTTTGATTTCTTTTAAATGTGTATTCTGTACGATTCACTGAACCATATTACTAAACCTCCAGTTTGCCCATTGGCCTTTGTCAATCATGGTCTCCTAATCCTCCCCGCATCTTCTAATTGTTTTCATCACTCTCTCCTCTCCACCAATAAGCTGGTGTGTGGTGGTGATCTGGTGTACTACGGATTTTGTCATATCATCCAGTGTATGCTACCCTCTGGTGGTGGTTGAGGAGAATTTCCCCTTATAAAGTTCATAAACTTTATACCATATTCTTGCAATTTGTTATTATTATTGTAAAATCCTCAGATACACCCCTGCTGCACAAACTGCCAGCACATTTTTTTGCAGATGTGTAACTGATAGACAGAGGATACATGTCACAGATTGACTTTTTGGCTGAATTCAAAGAACACAAATTTCAAAGCTACAACTTAGAGTTTTGAATGTGCTCTGAACCATCCAAGGTTGCCAAGTGGGGCTATACTACGTTATAGTGGATTTTTATTTGGCATAATAGTGATGGTAAAATATGTATTTTATGGGAATGGCATATATTAATATCAATAGGCTATGCTATTTGAATTAAATTGCATGAGTTCACACTTACATATAATTAGAGTGGATAAGATTTAATGCGTATTTGGCGTGCTGTCCAGGGGGAGGGCTCCGAGCTCGGAGTTTGGCCCGAACCCAGAGTACTATACCCCTATGTAATTGTTTAGGACTGGAAGTGTGGAGAAGGGGCGGTGGAGGGATGCTGCTAAACTATCAATGGAGTGAGGTGAGATTGCTGAATCTATATATACACCTCTTATCATTGATTGCTGAGTGCCATCCACTCGTGTTAATTAACTGAACGTGCACCTCCCGAGCTTTGTTAATAAAACATCATTTGATGTAAAAGCAATTAGGAACTAAGTCAGTTATGTTTGAAGTGAAAGTAAATCAAGCATAGCGTGAGCGTCAGTTCTGGCAGGTCACGTTAGTCAAGCTCCTATATCTCTTAAGCCTACCCATCACAGAAAACTTTCAGCATTTTTGCATTTTCAAAAAAACATATTTTAGTCTGATTTATACGCTGTTTTACTCATGGGGACCAAAACATTTCCCCACACGGAAAATTATTTTTCATATTGCCATCTTTGAGTGGACATTTTGTCCTCATAACGTAGGGTTTACCTGGGTGCACACACACACACACAAACATGCACACACACACAATGTGTTATTCCAGTCACATGCTCATGGTTGCATGTTGATGGTTGCATGCTTATGATTGAATGAGCTTTGTATAATAAGTTTAGACAGAAACGAGGTTTAAGTTTAACCAGGCAAGAACCTTTATAAGTATTTATAATATATCTTGATATTTTAACAAAATTTGGATGTGTATTATAGGGTTTTTTTTGCACTTACATTGTATAAACAGCATATTTGTGCTCCAGTAAGGTGTAATAACTGTACATCAAGTATGCTAAACAACAAAACCACAAAGCAAAAGTGCTCCCCTGTCCAAAATCATGTTAAGCTCACTCACTACATGTGCAAAAGCACACGGAGCAGGATGGGTGCATAATGCGTAGGTAAAGGAAATGGAAACCACAAGTAAAAGAATGAAGAGCACACAGAGTGACAGAAATAAGTGTAGTTGTGTGATTTAGATGGTGACTGTGAGGATTAGACTGCATTCATTTTATATTTTGAAACCATTTTTTGTCACACCTGGCTTGTGTTTAAGATGGATTGGCTATACCTGAGGAAGACAGCTTTGTTCCTGGACGTGTTTGTGGTTTTCATCCTCCATGTGAACACTGACACACAAGGTGAGTTCAAGGTGAGAATGCTCTATTGAATTCGAATTTGACTAAAAGTTTAACCAAATGTGGGGGTGCAGAAGGAATTTTTCAAATAAAAGTTGCAAGTGGAGTTGAAAACAAATTCAAATTAAATAAATTCAAATATATTTCACAGTACTAATGAATATTTTAGACATAACAAGCAACAATGGTATGTTTAAAACCACACCTTAGTTTAGATTTTCAGACACTTTTCATTTGTAGACATTATTGCAAAAAAAGATTTATGTTATCAAATTCTTGATAACATAAATCAGTGTAATATTTCAGTGTAACAAATGCTTAAAAGCAAATGTTTTACTGCTGGACATTATAGTCTGTTTGCTATTAGAACTGCTGCATACAGCAAAGCAGTAAAGTGGAAAGTTTATATGTTCATTTCCATAGCATTTTTCTCTTTGTTTTTTTAAACATGTAATTGTTTTAATGTTGTAACTTTATACTGTTGTTATTGTCTTCATACAAAAAGGATAATGCTGCAATGTTTTATGTTTTAGGTCATGCCCCCAAATGTCCTGTCTTTAAAGTTCTGCGAGGGGATGTTCATAAAGTCTGTACAAACAAGCCTTTCAAGATCTCCTGCAATCTGAAGTATTGTCATGGTCAGAAAAACAATATTACATGGGCTAAAGAAAACTTGAAAGGATGGATTCCAGTGTCTGGAGGTGAAATGTCATCATCACAGACCTATTCAGCATCTGATCTGTTGACTTCATATTTAACTTTCACAAATATATCAAAGAATCATGACGGCCTCTACAGATGTGAACTGCAGTTACCAAACTCGTCAGCAGTTAGCCATTATATTAATATTTCTGTCTCAGGTAAATATTTTCTATCAAATTTATTATGTTAACAAATAAGATTATGTAAGGCCGTCAAAACCAACTGTGGTAATTATATGAAACTTCAAATCTATTTTCTTTAGTTTCTTCCACAGATGACAGCCTGGGAGATGAGATGTCTTGCACTGGAAGTAAGAGCAGTTTCAATCTAATCACAGAGTAATGTGCATGTTCTTCTCAAAAAGTTGATCAAACAAAACAAAAAACACTATGACTCAATTCAAGAAATAATAAGTATTACTTATGGGTGAGTTCAGGTAATATGCGACAGGTTTAGCTACTGAGATGGCAGGGGAAGTCCCAGTTATCCTGAATGCACCTATGGATGTGATTTGGATGCTGTATCAGCTTAGAGTAATCTTTGCTTCTCCTTTTCTTTTCTGAGAAGGAGACAACAATGAGACAGACAACAATGATACCAGCTTTAATTCAAACCCATGGTGGCTGCCGTATCTCTTTATCTGTATGGGTGTAGTGATTCCTATTCTCATATTAATGCTCATCTTTATCCTGTGTATTAATGGATGTACGTAAGTCGTTTTGTCATTTTCATAATTTTGAGATATTTAAGGTTTGGCATGATCCTCACTTTGTCCCTTTACTGATCACTGTCAGCTTTGAGAAGAAGGAAAACACAGAAAGCGCAGGTTCAGGTACGTTTTTATATATATTACTCTGAATAATGTTGTGAAAATACTGTACCTTTTTAATTCTTAAACTACCAGTCAGTGTGCCATTCAGAATAGAATTCAGTTTTTGACTGGAATTGCAAAAGATGCGGAATTGTACCTTAATTTTGATTTTTATGAAGGTAGAATTACAAAATTAAATGAAAATAAATTCATAAACTGCTATATGAAGTTAAGTAAAGTTTAATAAAATTAAGTAATAATGTTTTGTATAAATTACCCATAAACATGCTATCACACAAGAAATTAATTTACACATGACATTAGCAATCAATGTTTAAAATGCGAGCATATAGACATTTTTAATTCATCTAAATTTAATTGTATTTACTAAATTAACTTATTTGTTTATGTTGTTCCACATATTGGTCCAACAGCACACAATTTCCCATAATATTCTAATTAAACCTTTAAAATAAAGTCAATCAAGAGCAAAGATGGGAACCTTAAAGGGATAGTTCACTTTGAAATTAATTTTTTATATGTTTTAGCTTACCTCAAGGGCATCCAAGATGTAGGTGTCTTTGTTTCCGCAGTAGTTTCAATTTTGATATTTTTAGGTCAAACCGTTCTTGTCTGTCAGTCATATAATGCAGGTCTATGGTCACCACCTCAAAGAGCATGCACGGAGAAGTCCAAATTAAACATGATTTAATGACTCGTAAATGTAAGTACACATTGATGGCCTAAAACGAGCGGTTTGTGTGAGAAAACGAACAGTATTTATATCGTTTTTACCTCTTGTAACCACAGCCACGTCCAAGTGATCTGAGGGCGCGAGTGCTTCGGTCTGTGCGTTACATGAGGTAAAAACGATATAAATACTGTTCGTTTTCTCACACAAACCACTCGTTTCGTGTCTTAGGCCATCAATGTGTACTTACATTTACGAGTCATTAAATCATGTTTAATTTGGACTTCTCTGTGCATGCTCTTTGAGGTGGTGACCATAGAACCGCATTATATGACTGACAGACAAGAACGGTTTGACCTAAAAATATCAAAATTGAAACTACTGCGGAAACAAAGACACCTACATCTTGGGTGCCCTTGAGGTGAGCTAAAACATACCAAAAATTAATTTCAAAGTGAACTATCCCTTTAAACTAAACAAGACATTTTCTGTAATATTATGTTAACTGTGTTTAATTTCTAGTATATTCCACCTCTCATTCCAATTTAAATTCCTCATGACCTAAATAATCTCATGAACTAAATAACATTATTGATAACACTTTACAATATGGATTCACTTAAATGCATTAATCTGACACAGTGGAATCCCGGTTGTAAGCGGCTGGAATTTGAAATCCATGGCTTAGTGTGGATGTCAAAACAAAAATGACATACATAACAATTAGTTAATAGTCATGTGCACCAACAAGTAAAGTCATAGCATAATGATACATTTGCACATCATTAGATAATGATTCATTAAAGCAGACAACTGGAAGTTAAAATACACATAGCTTTGACCATTATAGTTGTAATTAACACATTAATTTACAATATTATATGTTATTAAGGAATTATTACATGATGAGACATTTAATTAATAGCAATTCATATATGTGACCCTGGATCACAAAACCAGTCGCAAGTATTATGGGTAAATTTGTGGCAATAGCCAACAATATATTATATGGGTCAAAATTATTGATTATTCTTTTATGCCAAAAATCATTATGATATTAAGTAAAGATCATGTTCCATGAAGATATTTTGTAAATTTTCTACCACAAATATATAAAACATTTATTTTTGTGAGTGAATGCGACACAATCGCGAACATAAATGAACAACTTTAAAGGCGATTTTCTCAATGTTTTTTTTGCACCCTCAGATTCCAGATTTTCATACAAACCATACATCAAAGCTTATTTATTCAGCTTTCAGATGATGTATTAATCTCAGTTTAAAAAAATGTACCCATGTGACTGGTTTTGTGGTCCAGGGTCACATATTACTTAATCTATTCATCATATTATTAATCATATAGACTCATTATTAGTTGCTGATAACAATATATCTGTCACAATATATCGCAATACAAAAATACAGCAATATGTATCATGTATAGTTCACCCAAAATGAAAATTACAGTGTGAGAAAAAAAATTAAGTTTACAGAGTTTAGTGCCAGTACTACATTAAACTACTGTATAATGTTGAATATAATGTATAATAATGCAATGAGGGAATATTTGTGGGTCCTGATAATGCCCAAAACCAGTAAAAAGTGGCCTACATTATTTTGAATATATTTAGTCAGTGACAGAGTGTAAGTATATTCATCTAAAATTATTCTGTTTTCAGCTTCAGAAACATGAATATTTTTATTCTGGTGTCACCATTGTCCTGTGCATTGGGTTACCAGCACCAAGTCACCTTGTTAACCTTTTCCCATATATCTTGGGAGTATCGCAATAATATCGTATCGTGAGTTCAGTGTCGTGATATGTATCGAAACGTGATATGAGGGTCGTTACACACCCAGTTGCTGATGAAGTAATCATTAATTCATGGTTTAGTTCTATCTGTCCATGAATTAATGCATATTAGAGCACCCGTATTGTAAAGTGTTACCACATTATTTAATTCTTAAACAATGAATTTTGCACAACCATATTCACTTTGTTAATGATTGTCCTGTTATGTTTGCAGTATACAGCAACATCTGTCTTATCGTCACCGAGCCCCAGAGTCCTGAAGCATGATAAAGTTGTCTGTGTCCAGTACTCAGAAGAAAGACATCAGCGCTCTCGGGACACCAACACATGCAGTTTAGCATCACCACCTGCACAGTCTACTTCACATCTGTCAGATTGTGGGGGTGATGATAGTTTGTCCAACAGGAGAGATAACAGTTCAAGCCAGGTTGTATATGCATCTCTGCATCACCTCACACCAACACCATCATCTACTGCACCCCGTCCGACAAGAGAGGACTTTTCAGAGTATGCATCAATCCGGGTCTCCTGATGTCACCTCTGTGGGTTATACATAACCAGACAAAGTTAAGCAGCATTTTTAAGTCTCCAAAATGAAATAGTTCATTCATAGAGTCAGTTTTGTGACGCTGTACAGTACTGTGTGGCTAACAGGAAGAAGGAGATGTATGTTTTCACACCACACAGTACAAGTCATCACATGTCGTTACTTTCATCGTTACATCACGGAAAATTGTTCAATGTGGTTTCTGAGTGAAACTCACACCACTAATCATAGGTGTCTGGTGCAACACATCCATATCCTGTCTTCAATACTTGTTAGTCTACATTTTATGCACTAAAATGAAAAAGTTAATTCAGTAACAGTTTGTTACATAATAAATCTCTGTTGTTGAGAATATGTTGTATTTTACTGATTTCCAATTGTACTGTGAGCTTGTGATTTAAAATATATAGATTTGAATAGTTTATATGTTACATTGTTTAAAATTTTTCATTTTTATTAGTAATTTATTTAATATTAGGATGGTTTATGATTATAATCCATCAGAACAGTTTTAAAAAGTGACTAACTTTACCTGATGGTACTGTTCCACTTTCAAAATGATTTAGGCCCTTTTTGGAAATTATTAATAACTGTTACTTTGATTGACTCAGTCATGAAATTTATACATGAAGGTCAATTTATGATTAAACTAATTTTTCCCATTTAACTGGATATCCCGCTTTTGGCTCACTGCATCCCGAAAAAAAGAAAAGAAAACCAGTTGCAGGTTGCACCAACTCCTTAGACAATAAGTTAGTCATCAAATTTTGTTCTTTAAGACTGGTCATAACTTTTTAAATGCAGTTACATAAAATGTAGATTGCTCTAATTAGAATCTAAAAAGTAAAGCTGATTACCCCTTGGCTAACTGTTAAGTTGGTCAGTTCTTAATGCACATTAATAGTCTCAAGTCACAAATCTCAAGTCTTAATGCACATTAATAAATTAATAAAGTTAATAAAGTTGCTGTGTTTATGCAAATGGCCCCAGTAGATGGAGCCATTGCTCTAAAGCCTACCAAGAGTAACTAGTTTGAAGCCGTTTGCAACATATTGACCTGATGGTTTACAGTATATTTCCATTGCTTAAACAAAACGTCTCGGTTACGTATGTAACCCTCGTTCCCTGAGTAGGGAACGGAAACGTTACGTCGGATGACGGAGAATGGGGGTTTCGCCAGAAAGCCTATCATCTTCGAGTATTATAAAACGAGCCAATGGCGATGAAATGCCATGGGTCTGCGGAATTTGCATAGCGTATCTCCGCCCCACCGCGTGGGTATATAAGGAGAGACGCCGGCAAAGGCAAATCATGTCTTCGCTGAGGAGCCGAGACTGAACTCAGGCGTCTACCCAGCGGTACAGCGGAAGTGGCAGGGAGACGTAACGTCTCCGTTCCCTACTCAGGGAACGAGGGTTACATACGTAACCGAGACGTTCCCTTTCGTAGTCACTCCGAGTTACGTCGGATGACGGAGAATGGGGGTCCCCGTGTAATCACGCCACCTTCACAGCTGTCTTCCAGTGCCCTGCGGAAGTCTGATCTCCCTGTCGTGATACTGGCACGGACGAAGGAGTCCTACTTAACACAGGAATACCAAGGTACACTGGGAAGCATATCTCAGAGGAAATATGGCGCAGCACGCCTACCCGTAGCGAGGACTTAGGAATACACATATGGCCCGAAGGGGGGCCTCATATGGAGGAACACTGGAGTGACCAGCCCGTGGGGTGGCAACTTTCAACTCCAGGAGTGGCAAGGTGGCTTGCCGAGGGAAAGACACATGCTCAAGGAGGCTTACAGTGGAAATACACATGTGGGGGTTACTCAGAGGAGGAACCATGCACACGGAGGCACCTAGCCGACGCACAGGCAATAGACACTGGCGCCAGCGTCAACAGTGCTGGAGGAACTCAGGGCTTCAAAGAGGAAGGCTCACCTGAGGAAATAACGCACGTATCCAGTCCGTGGAGTGGAATGGCGAGCAAGCGAAGACACCTGAGCGGGTCCAGTACTAGCTGGTTGAAGCGAGTACACGAGAGGACACAGGCTCCACTCGGAGATTATAAAATCTGGCGAATGTGTTGGGTGTCGCCCAGCCTGCAGCTCTGCAGATGTCTGCCAGCGAGGCGCCATGCGCTAGAGCCCAAGAGGAAGCCACACTCCGGGTGGAGTGCGCTGTCACACCAAGGGGGCACGGTCGGCCTTGCTGTTGGTAAGCCAAAGCAATGGCGTCCACTATCCAGTGAGACAACCTCTGCTTTGAGAGAGCCTTTCCCTTCAGTCTCCCACCATAACAGACAAAGAGCTGGTCTGAGGTCCTGAAACACTGCGTCCTGTCTACGTAAGCACGGAGAGCGCGTACTGGACAGAGCAGTGCCAAGGCTGGGTCTGCCTCCTCCAGGGGCAGCGCTTGCAGGTTCACCACCTGGTCCCGGAAGGGAGTGGTGAGAACCTTGGGCACATATCCAGGCCGGGGTCTCAGGATCACGTGAGAGTGACCCGGCCCGAATTCCAGGCACGCTTCGTCAACGGAGAATGCGTGCAGGTCCCCTACCCTCTTGATGGAGGCCAATGCAACCAGGAGCGCTGTCTTCATTGACAGGAACTTAAGCTCAACTGATTGCAGAGGCTCAAAGGGAGCCCTCTGCAGGGCATTTACCACCACTGAGAGGTCCCAAGAGGGAACGAGAGGAGGGCGAGGAGGATTCAATCTCCTCGCTCCTCTCAGGAACCTGACGATCAGGTCGTGCTTCCCCAGAGACTTACCTTCAACTGCTTCGTGATATGCGGCGATAGCGGCCACATACACCTTCAGGGTGGAGGGAGACAGCCTTCGCTCCAACCCATCTTGCAGGAAGGAAAGCACGACACTGATCCAGCATCTCCTGGGGTCTTCTCGGTGAGAAGAGCACTAGTTGACGAAGAGGTTCCACTTCAACGCGTAGACATGTCTCGTGGACGATGCTCTAGCGGAAGTGATGGTAGCCGCCACCGCAGGTGGCAGGGTACTCAAACCTGCCTCGTCCCATCCAGGAGCCACACGTGGAGGTTCCAAAGATCGGGACGAGGGTGCCATAGGGTGCCCCGTCTCTGAGAAAGGAGGTCCTTCCTCAGAGGAATTGGCCAAGGAGGTGCTATCGCGAGGAGTATCAGTGCGGAGAACCAGATCCGGGTGGGCCAGTACGGCGCAACCAGAATGACCTGCTCCTCGTCCTCCTTGATCTTGCACAGGGTCCGTGCGAGAAGGCTCACTGGGGGAAACGCATACAAGCGGAGGCCCCGCGGCCAGCTGTGCGCCAGTGCATCCGTGCCGAGCGTGCCCTCAGTCAGGGAGTAATACAGGGCGCAGTGGGATGAGTCGTGGGAGGCAAACAGGTCTACCTGTGCGTCCCCGAACTGGTCCCAAATCAGCTGGACCGACTGGGGATGGAGTCGCCATTCGCTGGAGATGGGCCGAAACCGTGACAGCTCGTCGGCTGCAAAGTTCCGATCTCCCGGAATGTAAATAGCACGAAGGGACCTCAGGTGCTTCTGACTCCATAAGAGGAGGTGGCGTGCGAGTTGCGACATACGGCGGGAGCGTAGACCACCCTGACGGTTGATGTACGCTACTGTCGCGGTATTGTCTGAACGGACTAGTACGTGTTGACCCTTGAGCAACGTGTGGAAACGGTGCAGGGCAAGGCGTACTGCCAGCAACTCGAGGCAATTGACATGCAGGCAACGCTGGGGTCCTGTCCAGGAGCCCGCGGCAGCATGTCCATTGCACATGGCGCCCCAGCCCGTGGCAGAGGCATCTGTGGAGACAACAACATGCCTGGAAACTCGTTCTAGGGGAACTCCGGCCCGTAGAAAGCTGAGGTTCCGCCACGGGGTGAAGGTCTGACGGCAGGTCGGAGTCACAGGGACTCGGAACGTGCCACGATGCCATGCCCACCTCGGGACTCGATCGCGAAGCCACAGCTGAAGCGGTCTCATATGAAGCAATCCGAGTGGCGTTTCCGCGGCTGCAGATGCCATATGCCCCAGGAGCCTCTGAAATAATTTCAGTGGGACCGCGCTCTTGCCATCGAACTGTCGAAGACAAGTCAGCAGTGAGTGTGCGCGCTCGCTCGTAAGCTGCGCGGACATGGCGACCGAGTCGATCTCCATACCGAGAAAAGAGATCCTCTGCACGGGGTAGAGTTTGCTCTTCTCCCAGTTGACCCGAAGGCCCAGACGGGCTAGGTGCCGGAGCACTAGGTCTCTGTGTTCGCAAACCTGATCTCGAGAGTGAGCTAATATTAGCCAGTCGTCGAGATCATTCAGGATGCGAACCCCGTGTTCGCGTAGGGGAACAAGGGCTGCCTCGACGACCTTCATAAAGACGCGAGGAGACAGAGCCAGCCCGAATGGGAGAAGCGTGTACTGGTATGCCTGCACCTCGAAAGCAAACCGAAGAAACGGTCTGTGTCGAGGTAAAATGGAGACATGGCAGTAGGCGTCCTTCAGGTCTATCGCTGCAAACCAATCCTGTGGCCGCACGCATTCGAAAATGCGTTTGGCCGAGAGCATCTTGAACGGCAGCCTGTGAAGGGAGCGGTTCAAGACGCGCAGATCCAGGATTGGCCGTAACCCACCGGTCTTCTTGGGGACAATGAAGTACGGGCTGTAAAACCCTGACTTCATCTCGGCTGTAGGGACAGTCTCGATTACACCCTTCGCCAGCAGGGTGGCAACCTCCGCTCTCATGATAGGGGCATTGCCACCGACCATAGTGAGGCGGAATCCCCTGAAGCGGGGAGGAGACCGTGCGAACTGAATCGCATAGCCTAGCCTGATAGTTCGAGCGACCCAGCGGGACAGGTTGGGAAGCTCTAACCAAGCTCCCAGAAACTGAACCAGCGGGGTCATGCGAACCACAGACGTCCCCCAGGAGGGGCAGCGAAGCGGAGTGACCGGCCCAGGCGTGGGTGGCATAGTGGCCCGGTGCGGGGGCGAGGTCATGCTCCGCGTCCTGACAGAGGAGACCAGGGAAGGACCAGCATTCCACGGGGGTCTGCTCTGCCAGGGGTCTGGCGACAGAGGGAGACGAGAGTGGTGAGGTCCGGAGACGGCACGCACTGTCATCCGCGCCCTCTGGGACAGAGGGGGACAGGAGTGGCGAGGCCCGAGGGCGGCGCACACTGCGGTCCGAGAACTCTGTGACAGAGAGGGACGAGAGCGGCGAGGCCCGGGGGCGTCGCGCACTGTCATCCGGCTCTGTGTGCTCAGTGATGGGTAAGCAGCGGGGAGTGGAGAACAAAAGATTCTCCCCCGGCCCTCCACCGGGGGAAGGAGGGGGCCTGCAACCGCCTCCTGGGAAAGAACCGATTCCATCACTGAGCAGCCCGTCTCAGGAGCGCCGCTTAGCCTGGCGTTTAGCGGGGCGCGGGGCTGGAGAGGGCTGTGGCGCCTTCCTGCGGCTTCCTCCACGACGCGGCCCGGGTGAAGGCTGCTGCTGGGGCCGTGCGGGAGGGGCGGGAGCCACAGGAGGGTGCCCTCGGCGGCGAGCAGGCTGAGGCGTCTGAACCGACGGCTGGGTGGAGGCAGCAGCGGGCCGTCGGGGCAGAATATGTTTTATCGCCTCAGACTGCTTCTGTGCGGTCGAGAACTGCTGGGCGAAGTCCTCAACCGCTCCGCCGAAGAGCCCGGCCTGGGATATGGGGGCGTCGAGCAGACGAGTCCGCTCAACGTCCCGCATATCGGCCAGGTTCAGCCACAGGTGACGCTCCTGGACCACAGAGGTGGCCATCACCTGACCCAGGGAGCGTGAGGCCACTTTCGTCGCTCGGAGAGCGAGGTCAGTGGCGGCACGCAGCTCATCAAAGAGCCCGGGGTCAGTCCTGCCCTCGTGCATATCTCTGAGCAGCTGGGCCTGTTAGACCTGCAAGGTGCTCATCGCATGCAGGGCGGCGGCTGCCTGTCCTGCAGCTCTGTGAGACTTCGCCACCAGGGTAGATGAAAATCTACAGGCCTTGGACGGGTGCTTAGGATTGCCCCGAGAAGAAGTGCTCTGAGGACACAGCTGCATCGCAACAGAGCGCTCAACCGGGGGAATCCCAGTGTACCCATGGGCGACCGCGCCATCGAGGGGAGGAAAGGCGGAGAAAGCTGTCGAACGATCACGGGAGGTCAATGGAGCCTTCCATGACTTCGACAGCTCCTCATGCACTTCCGGGAAGAATGGCATTGGGGTTGGCTGCGGCCGTGAAGCCGCAGCCGCACCCAAAAACCAATCATCCAACCGCAAGCGCTCGGGGCAGGGCGGAGGGTTCCACTCTAGCCCGATGCTCGCGGCGGCCCGGGAAAGCATGGCCGTCATCTCGTAATCTGACACGGGTAACGCTGGCACTCCCGAGGATATTTTTCCTCTGTGTCGTTATCATTAGTTGTGGTGTGGACTAAATTGTTTTGATACTGTTATCGTTCTTGATGTAAACTGGTGTAAACTCTGTATAAATGTACTTACTGTGCATCCTGATGGATTGCTTACAAGGCTATGACCAATATTTTCTGTAGACTTGGGATAACCTGTCTGCTAAATTAATGTGTATATAAATGGAAATAAAGAAAGAAATTTAAAGTGTTGTTAATTGTGTACCTCCTCAGACAATGGTAAAAAAAAAAAAAAAAAAAAAAAAACCCTTTTTTACAAAACCCCCCAAAAATTAGGTAATAAATGCATGTACACATGAGGGAAAACCTTATAGCTAGACCATCCATCCTTTTATACAGCAGTGGGGAAAAGGGCTTTACCAGAGTGAGTCACATTGCCAAGTATTTATAGAGAAAGAAAAGCCAGGACAGAAAGCATGCTTTTCATGTCAGAATTAGATCAGCATAATTAATACATTTAAAGAATTTAGATTCACATACATACAAAACAAAAAATATATAGGCCCTATATCTTTATTTTCACATCTGAGACTGCTGGAGTCACACATGGCAAGTATATGGATTTGGATTTGCTTTGTGTATTCTTTAAGTGTAACAGCTGAATGAAGTATGCAAAAAAAAAGAAAAGAAAAAAAGAGCAAGAAATGTTCTCATGTCCAAAATCATGTGAAGCTCACTGTGCAAAAGCACACAGAACAGGATGAGTGCATGTTACGTAAAGGAAATGGAAACCGCAAGTGGGCTATTAAAATAAACAGACCAGTGACAGAAATAAGTGTTTAGCAGTTGGTTTGATGACTTTGAGGATTAGACTGGATTCATTTATATTTTAGAGACCATTTTTGTCCTACGGGTTGTGTTCAAGATGGACTGGCTATACCTGAGGAAGACAGCTTTGTTCCTGGATGTGTTTGTAGTTTTCATCCTCCATGTGTACACTGATGCACAAGGTGAGTTCATATTCATATATGATGTCCAAGATAAAATCCACCATTGATGCTGTGATTTTTAACTGACTAGTTCTGGGCTCATGAACGTTCTATTGAATTTACTTTTAGTAAAAGTGGAGCCAACTAGCATCACGGCTGTAAAGTTTATACTGAAACTAAATCATAGCTGTGTTCTTTTGTCATTGTGTTCTTTAGCGTCAGTTAGATGACGCTTCCGTTATGGGTAGGTTTAGGTCTGGGGTAGGGTTAGGTTTAGACCACTAGGAGGCGCGTCTCATATTGACGCTTAAGGGGTACCATGTGCGTCGGCATGTTGACGCATGGTCAAAAGCCCCAGTTAGATGACGCCTTGGGATGAGAATGGGCTGCTTAAATGGATGACTTTATTCAGTTGTATTGTTTGAGTAAAATGTACTTGAAACATATTATTGCAAAGTGAACTTAAAGGGTTAGTTCACCCAAAAATGAAAATTAAGTCATTAATTACTCACCCCCAAGCTGTACCAACCCCGTAAGACCTTCGTTCATCTTCGGAACACAAATGAAGATATTTTTGATTAAATCTGAGAGGTGGATCACTGCTACATAGGCTGCCTAAAGGAATGACACTTGACGGCCCAGAAAGTCATTAAAGAAAATGTTTAAATATTTCATGTGCCTATAGTGGCTCCACTATAAGTTTATCAAGCGACGAGAATACTTTTTGTGCGGAAAAACAAACAAAAATAACGACTTTATTCGACTATTCCATTGCTTCCTTGTGGGCCTGAGACGAGAGTTCAAGAGATTTCCAGGACGCATGCGCGAGAACTGACATTCTTCTTCTACTACTATGTACAGCACGCGTCTTCGTCTGCTTGTAAGACGCGCGCTGTGTAGTGTGTAGTAGAAGAAGAATGTCAGTTCTCGCGCATGCGTCCTGGAAATCTCTTGAACTCTCGTCTCTCGTTGACTTGAGCCTACTGTAGATTTTTGCCTTCATTTACAGGCTAGAGTCAACACTAGTTGCCGAAAGTCAGAGCAGGTCTACAGATTCTGGGTAGTCATAGTTCTGATTTTTGCCGACTAGAGTTAACTCTTGTCCTGTTCAGATTTAGTGTATTCCGGCCTTAAACCTCACATGTCTCAGACTAGAGGAGGCCAGCGGAGTCACGAGGCCAAAACAAATACGTGTCAAATGAAGCAGAATCTTAGTTAGTCACACTCACAGGACAACTCGCAATCTTATCCTCTCTCTGTAATATCAGGAACAAACTACAGTCTGTTTTCACAACGGAACAAAGCTGGTATCAGCAGCCTGACATGAGAACACAAGGGGCAGGTTTAGATCTATTAATCTGGAACTCTTCAGTGTGAAAAGAGTTTGATTTGGAAAGATCACAAGTACTGAAACACATTTTTCCTGGAATATTGTCAAAATTTATGACGCACGGTGAGGAACTAAAATGATGCCTATTCATTAAACTGACATCCCATTTACATTTATGCATTCACTAGAAACTTTTTTCCATGTGACTTACATTTTTTATGATTTTTGGCATTGCTAGCAAAATGCTTTACCAGCTATAACATAATAAAAAAAAGCTCCAGGCATATGTTGTGCATTTTTTTTAATCACCATATGATTTACACAACAGGAAAGAAAAATATTTTCCTATCTATCTGCTTTAAACCATCCCATGTGTACCAAGAATGTGGAAAACTGAAAATACCATAAATATAAATTAAAAATCTGTATCTACTGGACATTATTTTTCTCTTTCATGTCTTGACCACCAAAACTGCATCACATTAAATAGGTGCTGATGTGATGAAATGGACACTCTTTGAAATACAGTGGATCAAAACCATTCATCAAAGTTATACATGAATTTTGAACAATAACCATTCTTGTCTTAGGACAACTTTGATTAACTTTTTTGATTCACTTCAAATGTTGACTACTGTATGTCAACTTAATACAGTGATGATATTCATTTCAAGAGATCATTAAAAAAAAACTTCTGTTGCCCTCAGCACTTCCAAAGCAGCTATGCTAATAGACTGAAACTCCACATAATAAAGTACAAGGTGCAACACAATTACAAAGTCATTTAATATCATAACAGATTCAATAAAATCAAAGGCCGGACTTTTTTTTGCTTATTGATGCGAAGTTACAGAAACGCATTACATAAACGTAAAAGTCAATACCATTTACACAATAAATACAACATCCATATATCACAAAAGGAAAATAAAGTACTTTATTCCATAATTGGTTGAATAGACAAAATTCAGAGTGAATTTTTTTATTCTAATTAAAGGTGCGGCCTATACTCTCACATTTTCAAGAATATGGCAAAATTATTTAACATACATGGGACAGAATTAAAACTCTTTCGCCTTTTATCAGTTGTTATTACACTGGCTTGCACATATGCTCATGTTTAAAGCAACATGATTTTCCAGAAAGGAAGCCAGCAAAAATGCAATATTCGTCAGCCATTTAATTCCACAGCAGACTGCAGATAATGCATTTCCACTGGTACAGTGAACGCTTGGAGAAGCTGTCACGACCTCTCAGTGTTATCTGAGTGCATCTCCAGCATGGTTTAGTTTTCCCACCATTGCTCTGGGCTCAGAGACCAAAGAACTTAAATTGTATAGTTCTAGTTAGTCTCTAAATCTCTAGTTCAGTCTACTTAATCATTTAATAACAACAACAACAACAACAACAACAAAAAAAAAGAATGAGATATAAAATATTTAACGATTTCCTAATAGTATCCAAAGACTAGTGAAAAACAACTGTGTAGTTTTTAATCTACCTCACTGGACTTACATCCTTTCATCGGCAGTGCGAATGTCCACCTTAAAAATGAAGGGACAAAGCAAAATCAAAATTATAAGAAACTATGTATTTGATCATGATACAAGTTTTAGAAAACTGAAAAAAAGATAACTATAGATAACTATGCTTTTTTCAATAGAGAGTGTAATTCACGGTAGCGTTTTAATTAAGAGGCTGCTTACTGCAGAACCAATGGGTGGAGCTTGGCGTCCAGCCACGCCCTAACCTTATTCCTAGTTTTCTTATACTTTTTTGAGTGGATAGTTATTTTTTTTCAGAGAATACAAGAAGTTTTTATCGTACTTTTACATTTAGGGCTTCAGATACCAGACAGTAACATAGTGTCAGCCCAGATCCGGCCCACATCCGGGCCGTGTGGAATCCAGGTGTACCAGATGTGGGCCGGATCTGGGCCGACACTATGTTGCTGTTCGGGATGCCTTCTGGGTGGGTAAAATAACAGTATTAAAACAGACAAATACTAACTTAATTAAATTCCCTTCTGTGTTGAGATAAAATGCCTTCTACGGAAAACTTCATATTAGTGATGGATTTGCAAATTGTTCAGAACGTAGCATCTTTCCTCATGTAGAGATGTGTCACTGGTTGGAAAAGCACGGAACATGATAACAGGAGATTTCCGTCTTCACAGGTGTCTCAGCATATCCGCCTGCCTCGGTCAAAATTATCCACTCTGTGGAAACATGACCGAGCACAGAAGTGACTGTAACATCATAAGTTGTTAAAATATACATGTTAAATCCAATACTCTCACAGTTGTAACTTGACTATGTTTTAAATTCCAGAATGATATGAATGTCAGAATATGGGAAAATTTTGAAAATTAGAGATTTGTTGATCTGAATTTAAGAACTCATGACAATGAGAAGCCATGAGAATAATATGACATATGACATATAATATGACATTTTAGATAATAAATGTTACTATGTAAAACAATTGCTAGGTTAATTACTCACACACAATAAATAAAAAACTTGATTAATTTCTCATTTCAATAGATCAGGTCTAAAGGATTTGTGTTAAAAGGGCAGACAAGGCAATCACAGGGAAGCAGAAATAGGTCAAAGGAAGAGGCTTTGCACTTCCTGAAGACACCTACATTCAACTGTCTGTTTCTCTGTCTTCTCGGCCTCTTCTCTGTAATTGATGCTCTTCGGTCTCTGCTCATGTAGAATATGTGAACATCACAAACATACACATAAAAATCATAAGCCATAGCTATATTGGACAATGGTTTCACATTAATTTTAATGTTATCTATTGCTTCAAGTGTAAATGTGTTTATATTTATATATATATATATATATATATACACACTGAACAAAATTATAAATGCAACACTTTTGTTTTTGCCACCATTTTTCATGAGCTGAACTTTTTCTATGTACACAAAAGGCCTATTTCTCTCAAATATTGTTCACAAATCTGTCTAAATCTGTGTTAGTGAGCACTTCTCCTTTGCCGAGATAATCCATCCACCTCACAGGTGTGGCATATCAAGATGCTGATTAGACAGCATGTTTATTGCACAGGTGTGCCTTAGGCTGGCCACAATAAAAGGCCACTCTAAAATTTGCAGTTTTACTGTATTGGGGGAGTCCGAAAATCAGTCAGTATCTGGTGTGACCACCATTTGCCTCACGCAGTGCAACACATCTCCTTCGCATAGAGTTGATCAGGTTGTTGATTGTGGCCTGTGGAATGTTGGTCCACTCCTCTTCAATGGCTGTGCGAAGTTGCTGGATATTGGCAGGACCTGGAACACGCTGTCGTATACGCCGATCCAGAGCATCCCAAACATGCTCAATGGGTGACATGTCTGTGAGTATGCTGGCCATGCAAGAACTGTGATGTTTTCAGCTTCCAGGAATTGTGTACAGATCATTGCAACATGGGGCCGTGCATTATCATGGTGCAACATGAGGTGATGGTTGTGGATGAATGGCACAACAATGGGCCTCAGGATCTTGTCACGGCATGTCTGTGCGTTCAAAATGCCATCAATAAATATGCACCTGTGTTCGTTGTCCATAACATACGCCTGGCCATACCATAACCCCACCGCCACCATGGGCCACTCGATCCACAAAGTTGACATCAGCAAACCGCTCACCCACACGACACCATACACGCTGTCTGCCATCTGCCCTGTACAATGAAGAGAACACCTCTCCAAAGTGCCAGACGCCATCGAATGTGAGTCGACGAACTGCAGTCAGTTCGAGACCCCGATGAAGATGACGAGCATGCAGATGATCTTCCCTGAAATGGTTTCTGACAGTTTGTGCAGAAATTCTTTGGTTATGCAAACTGATTGTTGCAGCAGCTGTCCGGGTGGCTGGTCTCAGACGATCTTGGAGGTGAAGATGCTGGGCTGGTGTGGTTACACGTGGTTTGTGGTTGTGAGGCTGGTTGGATGTACTGCCAAATTCTCTGAAACGCCTTTGGAGACAGCTTATGGTGGAGAAATGAACATTCAATTCACGGGCAACAGCTGGTAGGCATTCCTGCAGTCAGCATGCCAATTGCACGCTCCCTCAAAACTTGCAACATCTGTGGCATTGTGCTGCGTGATAAAACTGCACATTTTAGAGTGGCCTTTTATTGTGGCCAGCTTGTGGCCAGCTCACACCTGTGCAATAATCATGCTGTCTAATCAGCATCTTGATATGCCACACCTGTGAGGTGGATGGATTATCTCGGCAAAGGAGAAGTGCTCACTAACACAGATTTAGACAGATTTGTGAACAATATTTGAGAGAAATAAGCCTTTTGTGTATAGAAAAAGTCTTAGATCTTTGAGTTCAGCTCATTAAAAAAGGGGGCAAAAACAAAAGTGTTGCGTTTATAATTGTGTTCAGTGTATATAGGGCACAGGTTGATAGGTCCTTTACATGCAACCTGCAAGCATTCACATTATTGGCCTCTGCTGATCCTTGCAGCAAATGAGATTGCTTGCTCAATTTAAATAGTCTGGTTCTTTGTATCTATTAGCAGTAGCAAGTCCATACTTGCTCTGTCGCAGTAGCAGCAGCATATCAGATCTAGTCCACCAAAACCAAATACATTGATATTACCATATTGAATAACATGCTAAAACTATACTGAATTGTCACAATTATATATATAAAATTTGCATGGCACAGGACAACAGTCATATATTGCAGTACACTCATATCATACAATAACTTTGATACACCTTTTCTATGAAAAAAAATTGAGGGAGCTTTTAAGTCAGGCTAAAATTCTGTGGAAGAAAACATTTATTTATTATCTTCTAAATGAAAAAAACATTGAAGCAGAATTGTTTTAAAATGAAAGAGGCTATTTTGTTGTAATTTCCCCAAAAAACTTAGAACCGTTTGGGTGGCAAACATCATGAATAATAGATTTGAAATCATAAAAACCTTGAAAAAAAAAACATATTTGAAAACTATCTTGTCTAAATGACAATTTTAGGGGCTGTTAGCACGGAACACATTTTAACACAAGTGCAGAGGAGTGAAAAAAAAAAGATGTGTTGAACATCTTTTAACTTGATGGCATTCTAAAAGTGTGCTCCTCATGCGTGAGATGCTGCACAAAAACGAAATGAAGAAAAAAATGCAACGTCTAGTGCATGTTTACATACAAAAATAATAGAAAAGCTAAGAGTCATTGAACCATTAAAAAAATAAGTTGTTGTTTGTATGACATAAATGATTTTAAAAAATAAATCAATCTAACAGAAGTACAAAGATTACTTTACAAGGTTTGTCCTTTTCATCCTCTTTGGACTAACTTAATTTGTCATTGACCCATGTTTGTTTCAAGAACCACACAGTAATGAACGCTCTTGTCAGAAGCAGCAGCAGTACTTTGACTTCAGAATCACTATGTTGGGTGTGTTTACATAAAAAAAATAGTGCCGCTACAGCGTGTACTGGCATGAACAATCTAGTAAGCCTTAGGTAAGTAAACATCATGGCCAGTCCACACATAAACAAGCTGCTATGGATCATTTTAATGAGTTATGTTCACTGCCCTGAGCAAAAGGCCACAAAGTGAAGCTGCACTCATACTATTTCCATGAAGCTATTCTCAAGGTTGTTAATTATTATACTTTCAAAACTGGACATCCACTTAGAGCTCAAACTGGAAAATTAAAGACAATATTTGCTTTTAATTGTGACAAACTATTTTCAACGACAAAACAAAACTGGCATCAATTTGTCAGATAACTGAACAGACATCTGAGAGCACAACAGGATATCGACATTTGCATGGTGGGATCTTAAACTTAAATAGGCTGGCCTGATGATGACAGAAATTTGTCTTTGTATATTACTTTGTATGATTTTGACTAAACATTTTGCTGAGCTGCATGTTCTGGATTGTTCTCATTGGTCTTTAAGATAGCTATGAATACTCACCATCCTTACGCAGGACACACTTCCACAAACAGAAACAAAGGCAGAGGACCAGAAGGAACGCTACTGTAGTCACAGAGATCAGGATAGTAAGTGCTGTGCCAACTGTTGAGAGAAGCAGAGAAAGCAAAATACTATTTTAGAGCATTTGTTCTCAATTACTATTTCACATTGTAAAAAAAAAATTTGAATATTTTATTTATTGAATGTTTCTTCAACTTCAGGCACTTTTATGTCACAGGGGTTGATTTTTATAAATCCCTTAAAAAGTTAACTTTTGTCATTTTCTTATAAGAAAGTGTTATATGAAGGTCTTGGATTAATTTAAATCAAAATAAAATGTTTACTCTCTCTGACAATTTGAAGTTTAGACAAATCGAGTCCCATTATTCATGTCCTGTGTTTGCTGAGGCGGCGAAACAGATTTTGGACATGTGGATTGCAGTTTGAGTGAGCTGTATTTGAAATGTCATCCACACTGTGTTTCTTGCCTGATTGATTTATGGCTGTATTTAGCTCTGAAGAAGAGTTTTAACTTTGGAGGTTCAAAGGCATATTTCCACTGGGCCACAGAACTGGCCCTCTGTGCCACTAAGCAGATGGCCTGTGTTTTTGGTCGCTCAACGCTGATATGGTTGTCGTGGAGAGGCTTCTGTGGTGTAAAACAAAAACAAAGGAAACCTCCAAGGGTTGTTTGGAAGATCCTTGATGCCAGTGGCTCAGGGAATTGAGGGGCGTAATGTATAATAAAAAATAATAAAATGAAAAAATATATAAAAATATATCACACCAAGTTGTCATACCCTCCTGACACCCTCAACAGATTGTCTCGCCAACCCCGCCACCTCAGTGTTTTTGGGAAGCAGCAATCTCCAGCAGGTTTTTTTCACCCTATTTCCACTCAGCAATGCTGTCGGAATGTGGCACTCGCCCCCCTCTAACAAAGGGTATCAGTACTAGTTCCCCTGGTCATTGTGTTCAGTTGATTCCCTGCCGGTGATTTGTTTAGGGGCACTGAATGAACAATTTCCAGCTGCTGAGAACACTGGAGTAGGCATCTCTACTTATCCCGCCACCACTGGTGATTCGGGAGGTGGAGGCGTCCGACGGGCCATTCGCCCCATCTTCACTCAAGAAGGCGAAAGCAGCTTCAGGGCACCAAACAGACAGATTCTATGTAAAAAATAAAATAAAAATCCTCTGTCAGACTTTGTGGCAGCATGGCAGCTTCTGCCCAATGTCTTTCAGTGGGTCCTGAACATTATAAGAAAAAGGATTCAGTTTGCTTTGCGTCCAAGGAATGTGTACCCTTCACAGAGAGAGGCAGGATTCTACAGTCAATATTTTATATTACCCAAAAAAGGGCGGGGCTTGCGTCAAATTTTAGATCTACGCGCCCTAAACAGTACTCTTTGGACATCCAGTTTCAAGAATCTAATCATCAAACTTTTAGCGCCACAAATTCAATTCTAGGATTGGTTTTGGTAAAGGATGCATATTTTCATTTTGAGATTTTGCCAGGACACAGGAAGTTTCTCAGGTTTGTTTTCGGGGGTGAAGCTTACCAATATCGAGTACTTCCTTTTGGCCTAGCTCTTTCCCCACGCATGTTCACCAAGTCCACGGATGCTGCTATGGCTCTGCTGCTACTTATAAATATTTGGATCAGTTAATCAAATTAACTTCATGTAGCTGAATTAATATTACTATCAGTTTATCTGTTCATCCAGCGAACACTCAGTATTGATCGTCTATCAACTCTTCAGAAAGGATATTTTCCATGGCCACAGAAAAATAACTCTTTCTTAGCATGTAGCTGTGATCATAATCGTTAAATTGACATTAATTTATAAGCAGACCCACACATAATACACATAATCACGCATACATGGGTAAAGTGAAAGTGACTGAAAAACCAGAACAGAGCAAGCTATTAAAAGAGTAATTTAAACTCCAGGAAGAACAATCAGTCCCTTAATACAAAGCTCCTTTCTTATCAATTTAGTATATTTTACGATACTTGCATTTGCATTAGCTGTTGAAGAGCCTCCGGATATACACTCACCGGCCACTTTATTAGGTACACCTGTCCAACTGCTCGTTAACACTTAATTTCTAAGCAGCCAATCACATGGCGGCAACTCAGTGCATTTAGGCATGTAGACATGGTCAAGACAATCTCCTGCAGTTCAAACCGAGCATCAGTATGGGGAAGAAAGTTGATTTGAGTGACTTTGAACGTGGCATGATTGTTGGTGCCAGAAGGGCTGGTCTGAGTATTTCAGAAACTGCTAATCTACTGGGATTTTCACGCACAACCATCTCTAGGGTTTACAGAGAATGGTCCGAAAAAGAAAAAACATCCAGTGAGCGGCAGTTCTGTGGGCGGAAATGCCTTGTTGATGTCAGAGGAGAATGGCCAGACTGGTTCGAGCTGATAGAAGGGCAACAGTGACTGAAATAACCACTCGTTACAACCGAGGTATGCAGCAAAGCATTTGTGAAGCCACAACACGCACAACCTTGAGGCGGATGGGCTACAACAGCAGAAGACTCCACCGGGTACCACTCATCTCCACTACAAATAGGAAAAAGAGGCTACAATTTGCAAGAGCTCACCAAAATTGAACAGTTGAAGACTGGAAAAATGTTGCCTGGTCTGATGAGTCTCGATTTCTGTTGAGACATTCAGATGTTAGAGTCAGAATTTGGCGTAAACAGAATGAGAACATGGAACCATCATGCCTTGTTACCACTGTGCAGGCTGGTGGTGGTGGTGTAATGGTGTGGGGGATGTTTTCCTGGCACACTTTAGGCCCCTTAGTGCCAATTGGGCATCGTTTAAATGCCACGGCCTACCTGAGCATTGTTTCTGACCATGTCCATCCCTTTATGGCCACCATGTACCCATCCTCTGATGGCTACTTCCACCATGTCACAAAGCTCTAATCATTTCAAATTGGTTTCTTGAACATGACAATGAGTTCACTGTACTAAAATGGCCTCCACAGTCACCAGATCTCAACCCAATAGAGCATCTTTGGGATGTGGTGGAACGGGAGATTCGCATCATGGATGTGCAGCCGACAAATCTGCGGCAACTGTGTGATGCCATCATGTCAATATGGACCAAACTCCCTGAGGAATGCTTCCAGCACCTTGTTGAATCTATGCCACGAAGAATTGAGGCAGTTCTGAAGGCAAAAGGGGGTCCAACCCGTTACTAGCATGGGGTACCTAATAAAGTGGCCGGTGAGTGTACAGTCGCGAGGAGAAAGTCTTGATAGTTAGGTACAATGGTGCTGAAGTTGTAATCAACTTCTTCCACATTGAATGAAGAAGCGATGGGGAACTTGCGGAGTTAGTTGGCTCTATTATGGTCGAGAAAGGTACACATGGCTCGATGTGTGTGAAGCCTGCCAGCACAACTGCGGCAGCGAGGCCCGGATGGGGTCTCATGTGAACAACCATCAGGAGCAGAAGTCAACGAGTGCTGAGGGAACTTTGTGTTGGCTTTTACGTTCCACAGAGGACACACCTTTACTCTGATAAATATATCATACACTGCATTCTATGATGTGACTCTACCAAAGTGTGAGTCATTAAACAAAGAGTATTTTGATAGGAAACACCACCTAGATGGGACTACATTAACTAGTTCTATCACCAGGCATGCATGACACTATACAATATTAAAAGACAATATACAAACAGTAATAATACACAAAGTGTACTTGGGAAATGCATGTTCATTCATTAGACAGATTTGTAAATGCATTAGTAGAAGGCATTCCATTTCTATGGGACTGCATGTCTGTTTGTTGTAGCCTGTACTTTTCTGTGCAGGCACTATCTCCCAGCGGATTGTCTTTGAAGTGTATAAGTTGGGGAAAAGGGTGGTAATGCTCAGTGGGGAAACCAGACTACACACAGTCTGCCTGGGTGAGGGGTGTGAAGATTACTGTAAGTGTAACAATGGTGTTTGATCCGTCCAGTCGTTACACAGAAGAGGTAACGGCATATGCTCAATCATATGAAGCATTTGGGGCTCAGAATAAACCTCAGGAAGAGTGTGCTTTCTCAAAAACAGAGAACCACTTTTCTAGGGGTAGTGTGGGATTTAACCAAGATGCAGGTACATCTGTCTCCTACACATGTAGATTTTATCCTAACCACTATGAGAGACATCAAGCTTGGCCAGCAGCTTTCAGTACTGCAAATTCAAAGGCTGCTAGGTATCATGGCAGCAGCAGCCAACATTACTCTTTTCAGTCTATTGCACTTGAGACCTCTTCAGTTCTGTCTCAAGAGCAAAGGATTTTATCTTTGGAATCATCCTTTTAGAGTCGTAAAAAAAGTAAAGTGCAACAGACTTCTTGTTATTTGGCTTGATTCCACAACAGAGGCCTGGCACTAGGGGCGTGTTGCCGTCGCAAGTCTCTCACGACTGACGCCTCTTTCACAGGCTGCGGTGCAGTATTCAATGACCAGCCCGTGGCCTTTAGGAGGGCCCTCATACCTCGTGGCACATAAATTGCCTCGAGATAAGGTCAGTGTTTTTAGCTCTGGAACACTTCATCCCACAGTTGAGGGGCTACCATGTGTTGGTCCGCATGGACAACAACTCGGTAGTTGCTGCATTTGCACTCTCTTTTCAAGCAGGTGCAGCAGATCCTGCTCTGGGCAGAGAACAAGTTCCTGTCTGAGAGCAGTTTACATTCCGGGGCATATAAATGTGGGAGAAGATTTCCTATCTAGGCAGGGGCCGAGGCCTAGGGAATGGCAACTCCATCCAAAAGTAGTGCAGTCCATTGCAGATAAACAACAGAGCAGAAGTGGATCTGTTTGCCTCCGAGGAGACAACCCACTGTTCCCTCTGATTCTCCCTCACACCTCCAGCTTTGTTGGGGCTGGGCAGCATGCTACAGGCGTGGCCGAGGTTGCGCCTACACGCTTCCCCCCCGATAGCTCTGCTCCCGTGAGTTCTAGCAGGTTTCGCCAGGACTGAGTTCACCTCCTACTAGTAGCACTGTTCTGGCCAATCCGAATTTGGTTTTCGTACTTAGTGTCTCTCCTGAACGGCCTCCCCTGGGGGATTCCAGTCCAGAGAAATCTTCTATCTAAAGTGCAAGGGACAATGCTGAGGTAACTGAAACAATCATAAACTCTAGAACTCCTTCCACTAGGAAGTTAAATGCCCTGAAATGGCAACTGTTTGTATCTTGGTGTGAGAAACTTGATGTGGATCCAGTTAACTGCCCTGTTAGTCCAGTACTGGAGTTCCTTTAAGAGCATCTCACAGCAGGGCTGGCTCTGGCTACCTTAAAAGTGTAGGTGGCTGCCATTTCCGCTAGCCACAAATCTCTAGAGGGTTCTTCTGTTTGGATGCACCCCTTAGTGGAGGATCCCTTTCCCACCCTACAGATAAAGCGTTGTGAATTTCGGTTCGCGTACCTCGAAGTGATAAAATAAAACAAAATTCTGTATCAAAATTTATAGGCAAGACAAGTAGTTTGTTTAGGCATGGGTTGTATGGAATTACAAACCTGCGCACATATTTTCAAAAGCACATAACTATAGAATCAATTCTGAATGTGCATGTGAACGCCGTCAGCGTTAATCACAGGTTCGCGTTTAAAGTCTGATCATTTCGACGGAGGTGAATCAATCAAAATTAACTTTACCTGGAAATAACATTATTCAAGAACCGCTATAAAGCCAAAACAATCTCTGTTACCTTAAATTATATGTTTATCTCTGTAAAGCTGCTTTGAAACAATCCATTGTTAAAAGCGCTATATAAATGAAGATGACTTGACTTGACTAGTGCCTCAGTTCTTGTGAGGTGCCAGACAATTGCGACCAATCTGCAAAGTGCAAGTTCCCTCCTGGGATCTAATATTGGTCCTGGGAGCCTTAACAGAGGACTCATTTTTGCCCTTGGAATCAGTCCCATACAAGATGCTGACTCTCAAAGTAGTCTCCTCCTGCTTAGACTTTGTTCCAGGTGATGTTAGAGCTATACTACACCCCAGACCAGACTATATTCCAAAGTTCTGGCTGGTCAGCAAGATATTGAAGGCTTTCTTCCCTCCCCCTTATGAGACATGAGAGCAAGAAAGCCTGCATCTGTTATGTATGGTTCGTGCTTCGAGGATCTATGTCCACTGCTCAGGCCAATGGACTAGATCAGGGGTCACCAACCCTGCTCCTGGAGAGCTACTGTCCTGCAGATTTTAGTTCCAACCCCAATCAAACACACCTGGACCAGCTAATCAAGCTGTTCAGGGTTACTTGATAATTACATGCATGTGTGTTGGAACAGGGTTGGATCTGAAGTCTGCAGGACAGTAGCCCTCCAGGAGCAGGGTTGGTGATCCCTGGACTAGATCTTCATGCTTTTGGTCTGTTTCAGTGTTTTCAATTAAGGGAATGCGGTCACCAAGCAGTGCATTGGATTACTGATGATGTCACCCTCTCCATAAGGCACGCAAGATTTGCCTCTAGGGGTCAGGGCTCACTCCACTAGGAAAATGGCCTCTTCATAGGGTCTTACTAGCACATATGCTTCATGATGTATGTGCTGTGCCTGGATGGTCCTCTCCACACCCGTATGTAACCCGGTTCACTGAGACGGGAATGTGACACTGTGTCGCGTTATGCCTGTGCTTCTTCTTAAAACAAATTTAATCTGTCAACGCGCATTTCTGTCTATTTAGAATTCCCATAGCATCATGCCAGGACGCAGTGACTCGTTCCCCTCTCAGGGAACTGAGTTGCATTCGTAACCTGAGATGGTTTCAGTTCAAGAAAATCAAGATCAAGAAAAAAAAAAGTGTATTCAATATAAACCATCGTAAGCAAAGTGCATAATAAAATAGTTCACACTCACTTTTAGTGTTCATGGAAACAGCAATGGCATTCTCCAGTCCTTTATGATGAACAAGACATTTGACAGAGATATCCTTCAGGAGTCCAGCCTGGATGGTCAATGTACTGATGACCAGAGTTGTCCCGTCACTCTGCTGGATAGCGGTGGTCAGAGGTTGACCAATGATCCGGTCATTTCCCTCCACGTTCCATACTATTTCAGCCTGTGGCCTGGCGACTGCAGTGCAGTTAGCCTCAATCACACCGGGAGATGCGGTCTTGTAGCTTACTTGAGGTTTTGGTAGGACTGTAAATATATATCATACAAGATATGGGTTTTGTGTCTTACTCCCAGAGAGTTTAGTCTGGGGGTGTAAAACATTTTTTTTTTACAATTATTTAGTCAGCATTCACAGCTACATTTGAATGACCATCAGTGGAGATAGATTACTTGGACCTGCAGAGTGAACAGTTACAGCATACTTAAACAGCATTAACATTAGAAATTACCAAATTGTCCACAAAACATTAGAAATTTTTGATGATACTCTGTTTGTTGTTAGGATGACAAATGTTTTAAAATCTAAATTTTAGGCTGTTTGCCTAGGCGTAAAATGTTTGAGATGGTCAATCAAATAATAGAAGGCAAGATTTACTGTTCACAGATACAGAACATGAATTCCAGATGCTTCAGTTTGAATGTTGAAAGAGTGCAAGGTAAGATTTAAATAGCTAAACATCAAGCATAGCGTCAGTTCTGACAGGTCACGTTAGTCAAGCTCTCATCAGCTGACTCTCAGCTGATCCATGTCTACCTATAGGAATACGATGCCTATCACTGTATACACATATAAGTTCCTTTAGTATTATCAGCAGCTATCGCGTTTCTCAGGAGCTAATTACCCTCCTCCATCCCCAGCTCCTCTCGCCCAGTCAGCATTTGGCATTCTGATTCCCCTTGAATCAGAATAAATTCTTGAATTATGTTGTATTTTAAAATCTTGAATTAATGATATCTGCAATACATTCATGTTGGTTCTGTTCTGTTTACCCTAAGGGGGGTTATTGCTGCTCTCCCTGCTCTTATCCATGCTAGGCTGCATGGATGCGCAGGGAGTTCTCGCCCATAATGGAACCATACCACCAATCCAAACTGTATGCTAATTGTCAATCATATTTGACGTCAGTGGTCCTGACAGAAATGTAATATTTGACAACTGTTTTACAACAGAACTGTTGAATGATCAACAGTGATATCCATTGGTGCAAACTACTCAACTTTTTTTCAAATGTAACTGTTTTAAATTAAAAATACAAGATAAATTTTTTTTGTGATTTTTGTAATTTATAACTACACTGAACAAAATTATAAACGCAACACTTTTGTTTTTGCCCCCATTTTTCATGAGCTGAACTCTAAGACTAAGACTCAGATCTAAGACTCTTTCTACGTACACAAAAGGCCAATTTCTCTCAAATATTGTTCACAAATCTGTCTAACTCTGTGTTAGTGAGCTCTTCTCCTTTGCCGAGAGAATCCATCCACCTCACAGGTGTGGCATATCAAGATGCTGATTAGACAGCATGATTATTGCACAGGTGTGCCTTAGGCTGGCCACAATAAAAGGCCACTCTAAAATGTGCAGTTTTATCACACAGCACAATACCACAGATGTCGCAAGTTTTGAGGGAAAGTGCAATTGGCATGCTGACTGCAGGAATGTCTACCAGCTGTTGCTCTGGAATTGAATGTTCATTTCTCTACCATAAGCTGTCTCCAAAAGCGTTTCAGAGAATTTGGCAGGACATCCAACCAGCCTCACAACCACAGACCACGTGTAACCACACCAGCCCAGGACCTCCACATCCAGCATCTTCACCTCTAAGATCGTCTGAGACCAGCCACCCAGACAGCTGCTGCAACAATCGGTTTGCATAACCAAAGAATTTCTGCACAAACTGTCAGAAACCGTCTCAGGGAAGATCATCTGCATGCTCGTCATCTTCATCGGGGTCTCGAACTGACTGCAGTTCGTCGTTGTAACCGTCTTGAGTGGGCAAATGCTCACATTCGATGGCTTCTGGCACTTTGGAGAGGTGTTCTCTTCACGGATGAATCCCGGTTTTCACTGTACAGGGCAGATGGCAGACAGGGTGTATGGCGTCGTTTGGGTGAGCGGTTTGCTGATGTCAACGTTGTGGATCGAGTGGCCCATGATGGGGTTATGGTATGGGCAGGCGTATGTTATTGACAACGAACACAGGTGCGTTTTATTGATGGCATTTTGAATGCACAGACATGCCGTGACGAGATCCTGAGGCCCATTGTTGTGCCATTCATCCACAACCATCACCTCATGTTGCAGCGTGATAATGCACGGCCCCATGTTGCAAGGATCTGTACACAATTCCTGGAAGCTGAAAACATCACAGTTCTTAACAGCCTAATAGGCCTTTTGTGTACATAGAAAAAGTCTTAGATCTTTGAGTTCAGCTCATGAAAAATGGGGGCAAAAACAAAAGTGTTGTGTTTATAATTTTGTTCAGTGTAAATATGTTTTCGACATATTAGACATATAAATAAGAGAGTATTTATGCACATTTTGAAATAAATATATTGTTTGCGAAGAGTTAAAATTGACTACTACTTGTTCTTTTTTCTGTTCTTCTAACTTTTTTTTTATTCACTTAAATCAATTTAAATCCTTTAATTATTGAATTGTTTTAAATAAAAAGGCCTTTACAAATAGTCCCCTCAATGTCAAAGACATGACTAATGTCCATGCTAAAAAGCTAAACCTTGACCCCTTGATCCCGACACATAGGCTGTGTCCGAAAACTTAGGCAGCTGACTTGTTGCCTCGCTGCCCTATCAGGCAATGGCTTTGCAGGGAGCGTTTGAGCGCGAAGGTACGTATCAAACCTTATTTTCAAGTCAAGTCAAGTCAAACTTTATTAAGATCCCTTATGGGCAATTTGGATGCAGCACAGATAAAGACACAAACTGACACACGCAGTACATCATAATAGTAATAATAGCAATACATATTACAAATTTCAAAATAGCATGAATATATAAAATATAGAATAAAAAATATAAAAACCTTAATAAATACCTTTAAGACGTATTTAGTAGTCTAATTGCACTCGGAACAAAAGAGTTCCGAGTTAAAAAAGAGTTAATTTTTGGTAATCTGTAACGACGACCTGAGGGCAGCATAGAGAACTCTGGATATAAGAAGTGTTCACTGTCTAAAATCACAGAATGGACTCGACTCAAAACATTTCTGTTAAACAGACCTGTCAAACATCTTTGCTCCTTACCTATGATCTTCCCACTGTTTTTGACTAATTTATTTAGTGAATTTTTTATATTTCACACTAAGATTTCCAAACCAGCAGCTAATGGAAAAGGACAACACTGGCTCTATATAACATTTATAGAACAATTCCATCAGTGTCTTGTCTATGTTAAATGATCTCAATGACTTCCGGTTATGAGGAGCGCATATTAGTCGCGCGCTCAGCCTGCTCCCGCCGTTTCATTTTTAATTTTCTTGCCAAACCTTCGAATTTTAAGTTATACTGTCAACAAAAGTTTAATAAACTGTAAGTGCTCGGAACACTTCATCATGTCTAAGGCTAAAGGAAAACATGCAGAAAAAGAGAAGGAGGGTTCTTCAACGGCTAGCATTTCCATGGCTGACATTAGCTCACTGCTGGATGAACACAGAGAAGCCCTTTTGGCTGATTTTAAATCCTCATTCGAGTCTCTTGCATCTACACTGGACAGCATTCATTCCACCATTACTGATCACGGGCAACGCATTGATTCTCTGGAAGTTAACGCCACTTCAGTTGACCAACGACTTCAGCATCTCGAGGGTGCCTACTCCGCTTTGCAGAAAGACAACGAGTTGCTCAAACTCAAAGTAGCTGATTTGGAGGGACGTAGCAGACGTCAAAACATTCGGATTATAGGCCTACCTGAATCGATTGACGGTCCTCGTCCATCAACGTTCTTTTCTCAACTACTTGTTGATGTCCTTGGTACGGAGGTCCTCACTTCGCCCCCTGAGTTAGATCGTGCGCACCGGAGCCTCGCTCCTAAGCCGGCTCCGGGAGGGAGACCGCGGCCTGTTTCCACCGATTCCAAGTTAAAGACGTCGTAATTCGCGAGGCTCGTAAACGGGGTGTCCTGCTTTATAAAGGCCATACGATTCGCCTGTTTGACGACTACAGCCCTGACGTGGTGAAGCAGCGCGCCGAGTACAGAGGTCCCATGACGGAGCTATACAAGCGCGGGTTCAAGCCGGCACTTCTTTACCCAGCCAGACTGCGCATCACTCTACCCAACGGAGATAAAACATGGCTCCAGTCCGCTTCAGATGCTGTTAAATTCATCCAGGACCAGGACTTAAACAAGAACTCGTAAGCTAGCAAATTGGCACTTTCAGTCTGCGGCTGATGTTGCTAAAACGGTGCAGACCTTTTTCCTGCCTTATTACGGACGGTAAATGCATGTTACTTTTTTTTTATATAATATAGGATATGTATATATTTTTTATTTTATTTTATTTTTTATATATAAGTCTTGTGTATTTGGTTTCTTATAACATAGATCTTTGTATGTACACCGGCTGTTACTATACTAAAACAGCAAGGTGAATGCTGTTTTAGTATTTTCTGTTGATTATATGACCTCATGGGTCTTACAAGTCCAGGCCTTGTTTTTTTTTCAATGTGTTTTATTCGAGTTGTTTGATATGGTTTAATTGTTCTCTTAGGTTTAATTGCACTTGTTTGTGGGGGCAGTGCGATTGTTTTAGGGAAGTAGTAATATTCGCTGATCGTTGTATCAGAGGTGTGTTCGTTGCTGGTTTCGTTCTCTACAGCAACCGGGTTGGGGTTAGTATGTTTGGTAACGCTTTAGATTACAGCCCGGAAAGTACTGTGTAATTAAGAGGAATTTACAGTGTAACTTTCTGTAATTATAGTGTACCTATAACGTACTTCCAATATAAGTATAAGGGAACAATATTTTAAGTTTGGGGAATAAAGGGGTAACAACCAGGAGAATTAAAAAAAATATTTATACTGTAAGCAGAGGTGGAAAGTAACGAATTACATTTACTCGCGTTACGTAATTGAGTAGTTTTTTTGTGTACTTCTACTTTTTTAAGTAGTTTTTAAAATCTGTACTTTTACTTTTACTTAAGTACGTTTTCTTTGAAGTATTGTACTTCGCTACATTTGAAATCATATCCGTTACTGAGTAAAAAATAATAATACAAGAAAAAAAAAGAA